CTATTTTACTGCTGACTGTTTTGAATTGATAAGCGGAGCTTTTAAGCTCCCTCATAGTGGTTTTTTAATTATATTTATTTAGTACAAACAAGTTTTATTGCAATTCCCATAGAAAAACGCGTCGGATTCAAGGAATGGGCAACCAAAAATGGCAGAATAAATGAGGACATGGATGCACTGTGTGACTTCCTACTTGTTGGACACAGCTTTTATTTATATGCAATGCCCATTAGTTGTCCTTTTCATTGTGATTATGAAGATTTACAGTCATAAAAAGGGTAAAATAACATTATTTATTAGTTCTCTCTCTTCTCTTTTACTAGCTTTTACGGAATATAAATTTAGTACACTTATAAAATATGCTTGTTAACAAATGGACAGGCCATGATGTGCTAGAGACTCTGCCAAATGGACTACCATGAGCCACACATGCATGGCTGGGAAGTTGCCCTACTGATCGACAAGTGCAGGTATGCCAGCATGTCACCTAGGAACCAAAAAATACACTATTTGTAATTATCTGATTAGATAAACTGTAATGTGAATTGTGCTGGTTATAATATATATTAATAAAAACGAGACTACGAAAAAGCTGAATAGCTCACCATTCTGAAATCGCTGTGCGCATGAAATATTTTTATATTTCCCCATCTATGCTGTCACGTGACACAGCTTTATTTTTGATATCACATAAACTACCCATTAATTGCAGCTGACATGTAATATTGCCTTTGTTGATGACACAATACTAATTTTTCACATGCCCTGCCCAGTTGAAGGATATACTGTTGAGGTGGCTTGGCATATTACCAATGATTATTAGAATATAGTGAATGATAATAATATATTTATTTGTATTATATAGTAAAACTAAAACAATCTATCATTTTTGGCATTCATATATTCATCTGAAGTACTGCCCATAGATGCAAAGCGACGAATTGTCTTGGTAGTATTAGGTATGCATACTGAGATACTACGTTTAACTATTCCAGGGCTAATGAAGAGCTCACCATTAGCTGATATGTTATCTGATGTTGAAGTTAATTGTTGGTGACTTGGCAGTTTAGTAAGCAATGCATGTCTCATGCTCTGACAGGTATGTTGTGATCCAGATGTAAAAATGGTTGTTGAGCCTGTTAAGCATAGCAAGTTATTTTTGGACAAGGGCAGGTTGATGGTCTGGCTTGCATTTACTGATGCCATGTAGCGTGCAATAGCTGGCTGAATTGGCACACATCTAGCCCGAGCTATAGTAACTGACAATAATGAGGCTGGGCAAGAGCGACTGCGCCTTAGGTTGGTAATAGGATGCATGCCTTTGGTGCTGCAGATAGGCTTCAGTCGGCATGACAGCTGGTTGTGCACTGTGGATCGAAACTCAGGCAAACTCATATTCTGTACACATTTTTGAGCTTGTGACAAAGCCAAAATTCCTGTGGATGTCATCAAAAATCGTCAGTCATGACTGATGCACCTGAACTGGCTCGTAAATATGTGTCCATCATATGTGGGGCAGCTGTTTCTATACGGAGATTTTTGGTGTGGCCATACTTGATGCGGCTGTAGATGGCGATAATGCTGTGCTGAAGTGCTGCTGCTTGGAAGCTGCAATATAGAGTGTGTTGCTGTTTCTACCTGCATTTGTGGTGATTTCATCCCTGTTATGTGCCTTGATTCGCAAACTGGTGCCTTCAGATTGGTTGCGAGCTAATAGCCTTTGCAGCTCCAAACGTAAAGGTATTAGTGTCAAACAGCGGTTCCGAGTGAGCCTGGTACTTGGCTGCACTTGCATGGTAACGAGCATTGATTGCACTCGGCGGCTAAGTTTGTTGGCCTGTGGGAATGCGTTGTGCTGCACATGCTGGGACAGAAAATCTGCATGTGACCCTGATTGCCTAGTCAACTCAATGGTGTTACTGCGCTTTCGGCTGATGGCTGCGAGCTCCGATTTGCACTGAATCACAAGGCTCTGGGAGCGACGGGTGCGGATAGTGACAATATTGTTGGATCTGGATGGAATAAGAAATGCAGCAGTAAAATCTCTGTGGGCGCGAGGCCTGCCCACTGCAGTTACGCTGGCCATGCGCGATAACTGTGTGCACAAAGACATACCCAGCTTCTTCGGTGGTAGTGAAGGCGTAGGATGAATAAAATTCAGCGCTACTCCCATTTTTGCGCTTACTCGGGCGTTTCTCGGTGGCATTCTGGAGATGATGGAGCCGACCAAAGGCTTTTTAGTTGACGGGCTCCGCAGTACAATCGACATTCTGCCCGAGTCCATTGACGATGTTGTACTGCCTGTCGCTGACTTTGGCACCTGGGGCTCAGCGGCAATGTGCGTTTCTAATAACACATCCGACGGCATGGCACAAATGCTCGAAATGTCCATGAACTGGGAACTCGAATGATTAATAGGCAGGCATTGAGAATTTTGCTTACAATCAGTGCTGCTGCTGCCGCCGTTGTTTGCGCTGGTAATGGCTTTGTTATTCATTTTGGGACTGTCAAACCAGTGCACAGTCTTGTTGGCTGTACGGCTTGCGCTTTGCTCCTCAACATTGTACTGCGAAGCCCAGCTGCGCGCATGTTGCATTTGGGCAGTTGCCAAGGATGCTGATAAAATGGCGTCTTGGCACACAAGCTGGCCGTCCCCTGCCGACTGATTAATGCATCCACTAAGACGCGTGCGGTCCATTGAGCTGGTACGTGGCGGGAACTCGGGCGAGCAAGTTTTCCAATGGGCATTCTCAGGGCTTTTCCCGCTGGAGATGTACTCAGCCACAGCAATCATCTCGCGTAGCGCCATGCTGCGGTCAAACGACGCCTGGAAATTGTTTGGCAATATTGGCGGCAATGGCGGCAGTGGCTTTACGCTCGACGTGCGACATGGAGGAACAAGCGGCGATGTGCGCGGGTGGTAAAATGGCGTGCGTGTGTCGACGCTGCTTAGAACGTTGCATTTGCTGCTGCTTTTGCTCTTTGACAGCATGGACGGTGAGCTGCTTTTGCTTGTAATTGGAGACGCTGACGCGACCTTGCTGATCTGGCGTGCAATGAATCCCAATCTGGCTGGTGACGGCGAGGATGCAGCTGCGCCAGCCGATGGCACCCGCTGCAAATTGATGCTGGTGGGAGAGAAAGGCTGGAGTTTCGCTTGGACACATTGGTGGAAGCGCGCTGAATTTACTCGCAATGGCAGCATTGTGCCTGTCATCTGAGCCGCGTGTTGACGACGACCTCTGGCGCAAAAAGCTCGGCTGTACACCAATGTTCCACTGCTTCTGAGCACTGGTTTTTGCCCCCGTGTTTGCGGCGTTGCAGGAGTCTCGCCCAATGTGGACATTGCTTGCGTGGCCAGCGAGCTGGTCGATGGCGTGGCGCGTTTGATTGAGCCAACTATCGATGCTTTGCTCGCGCGCAGCGTTGCCATTAAGCTGGAGCGGCGCCCAACCTTCTCGCTAGTAATAACACTGGCTTGCGACTCGGGACTGTCTGTCATCCAGAACTGTGCACGAACCGGTCTGGGCAAGTCGTCCTGCGAGCCACCTTTGCTGCTGTTGGCGCCTATGGCACTCAGCTCACAATTGGCAAGCGGAATCGGCAAGAAGCTGGAATGGCTGTTGCTGCTGCTGCATCTGCTTCTGCTATTGGTACATGGACTGCTGATGGCAGCTGAATTGGCAAGCCTGAGGCTGAGGCGGGACGCGGAGCGACGCAAACAACGTGTTTGGGCCAGGTGTGCCTATATGCGCTGTAAGCGGCGGCACTGCAGAAAGCTCAATATTGGTCATTTTATGCGCTGAGTCGTCGGTTATATCTGTAGGTGTGTCGGCGAAGTGGGGCTGCATATCGGAATAAACTCGTACGACCTGTCGGAGCCAGACAACGACAGTGGCGACGCAGGCGCTAAGCTCATAGGCGACATGCTCTTGGTCACCTCAGTTACTTCGGCCACTGTGTCAAGCAGGTGGCTGCGGCAATTTATATTCAGGGTCATAGCGCCCTGCATAAATAGGGTGTCCGAGCCAAGGCTTTGGCCAAAAAATAGCCGCAGTTTTTTAGCCTGACGCCGCTTTACCTGCTTGGTCTTGGCATCCACGCCAATGGCGACGGTCGCGGGGTCAAAGTGCACCCGGGCCAAGTCGCGCTCAACCTTGATGTCTGAGCGCATGCTGGAGTCTGTCGACACAAAAACGCTGCTGTCCTTGGAGCTACAGCTGATGCTGGGGTCGGGGCTGACAAGCTCGTCAGAGGAACAATACGCGTCGGCCTCGTACAGTGTCATAACGTTGGTTGGCACGTCGCCGAGTACTGTCATCAGCTTGTTGCGCCGCCAGCGAGCGCGCATACGCTGCACATCAGACAGAGAGGCGGCCGGCGATGCGGCCTGGTAGCGGATGTACGACGGCATCAGTGGCGCTGGCAATGGCGCTAAAGACAACAGATTACCGCCAGCGCTTGAAGTATAGGGGCACGGCGCAGGTGCCGAGTCGCCGAGGATCTCGCGGACTTTGTTAAACCGGCGGATGCAAGCTTCCCTCGTACCACTCACATCCGACTCGCTGTCAGAGAACGTGCTGGTGTCGATTAACAATTGGCCAGGGATTCTCGCGCGGATTCTTCCGGAACCTTTCAAGGAAGACACTGGTGATGACGAAATCATTGTATCGTCGGGCGTGATCAGCGCGGCGCTCGTGTGCAGCTCTAAACTGGAATTGCGCTCCAAATCCAAGCGCGCACTTGTGCAATGGCTGTTGGAAACCGGCATCGACAGCTGGGAGTGCCCGGCCAGGCTGTCCTCGCCAAGTATGGCCCTGAGCTTTCGGCGCCTGCGGATTAGAAGATTGCGCTGCTTGGCCGTCAGGGCGGCAGTGGCAACAACAACGCCAGCAACATTGCCCGCACCAACATCTGCAGCCCTGACAAGCGTAGGCGCTGGATCAAAGCCGGCTGACAACGAGCGCGCCGTGCTACTAAAGCTGTTGGACATTGCCTGGCGTCTTGTGAGTACTCCGGTGGGGTCTGAGCCTCCAAAGAACTGGAGGAGCTTGTCGACGCGTCTTTTGCGCTCGTAAATTGCAGATGTGACCTGGCTGGGGCTCGTGGCACTAGCAGCAGCCATTCCGCCGGAAGATTGGCCGATTGATGCGGGCACACTTTGGCTGCTGTCGCTGAATATAGACTCAATGCTGATTTCGCTTGAATGCACGTGGCCAAATCCCAGGCTGCTACCATCAAGGCGGCCACAAAGGCCGGCGCTTGAGAACGACGATGCCAACGAGTCAAACGCGCACTCGCGCAAGCTGCCATTGCCATTATCAGAGCTGTCGCTGTCAGCGACTCCAGCTTTGAGGCACCTATCATTGACAGCGCGCGCCTGAGTGTCTGGTCGTTGTAATAAGCCTTGTCGCAAGCACTTGCTGACAACGCGCCAATCGAGTTTTGGTGGCGGCAGCGGCGGCGCTTGGCTGAGCCGTGATGGGGCCATTCTCCATCGCTGCGGTCGTCGTCGCTGTCGCTCCAAGAGCGTTCCCTTTGCGCAGCCAGCTTGCGCAATGAGGACCACGACGATCGTGGCTTCTGCATAGCCAGCTGTGCCCACCCGTGCATGTGCTCCTTCTCAATGTCGCTGTCGCTGTCCATGGCGAGGATTTTCTGCTCAGCGAGCACACTCGATGAGATGCTCGATTTGTGGTTGAGCGGCTTTTTGGCTCGACGCCGGTGTGCCTCCTCGCTGCATCGCTTGCGTGCAACCATCTCGGCCGCCGCGCGAGCAGCCTGTCTCTGCGAGCTTGGCGGCACAATGGCCATGAGCTGCTGGCGCAGCAGGGCCTCGTGTGGGTGGTCTCCAAAAAAGTTGCGGATCTTGCGTGTCTTTTTGATGCGCCGCTGCTTCTGCAACGGCCTGATGCGTGTAGCCAGCTGGAAGTAGCTATCGCAAAGACTGTAGGCCAGGTGCTCGTTGACAAACTGCGCTGCCACGCGCATGAGCAGCTGCTCGCGGAACCCAACGGTGAGCTGTGCCAGGCTTGTCACTACGTGCGAGCTCGAGTGATCAATGTCCAGGTCGTTGACCCAAACCACAACGTCAATATCTGGCTCGAATTGGGCAACAATGGCCATCATCGGGTCGTAGTCAAGATCTAACCGCAATGGCCTGACGTATTCCTCGGGACTGAACCCGCTGCCCTCCTGGCCCATCAGGGCAAAAAGCCCGACGGGTGACCGTTCAAAGCGCAGCAGCGTGTGCTTTTTTAAGGTGAAGCCTATGCTTGCCAGCATCTCGTCGAACACCCAGGGGCTGTATTCCCAGCCGGGCAGGAATGGCCATGGAATACGATCGCGCATCTGGCGACTGACATTGATTCTCAGCGGCGCGTACGGCGCAATGTAGCTCAGGTATATGTAGTTGGCCAGCAGGCGCGCCATGCTCGGCTGCACATGGCGGAACCGTTCGACATCTAAGACAAACAGCAGCGACTCGAGCGCCAGCTCCGACGGCAGAGCGCAAAACTCGAGAAAAGCGCGCAGAAGCACTGGATGAATAAGCACGTTGATGAAGCGCGCCTTGAGCGGGGCCTGTGACACAAGGCTGCCAACCGCTGACATATTGATGCTGTTTGTGGTTTCGAGAAAAGAGGGATCGGGGAGTCTTGCGGGCTGCTTTGGCTGGCTGTGCGCGGGCGACACTGACAGTGATGATAAAATGACTGCCCAATGGCCGTGTTGGCTGAAACAAGCGAGTATGATAGATTGGCCGCACCGGCTGGGCCCATTAACGGCGCAAATTTGGTAATGCCGCTGTGGCTACTTGGCGGTGGCAGAGCCGAAAGTGGAACAAACAGAAACTCCCCGCTGGTGCTGCTGGTGCTGCCTCCTGCGACTGAGTTGGGAGGGGTCCCGTCGCTGGCACTGATGCTGATACTGGCACTAATACTAGTTCCAATGCTGGCCCCAATGCTGGCTCTGGCACTAGTTCCAATGCTGCTGCCACCGCATGCGACACTGTCATGGCAGCCGCCATTGGCATTGGCAGCAGCTACGGCGTCACCACTGTCCTCATCGTCCTCGTCGCACGTAATGCTGTTGTACACCGTGACCGTGTCGCCCGATTTCAAAACAGAGCTGACCAAGCTGCTGAAAAGAAGCGGCGTTGGGCCATTGAACAGCGCCGTGCAGATAATCAGCGGATTTTCGGCTCCTATCCCGCACTCTAAGACTGGCGGCAGAACGCAGCCGGCGTCCTGTCGACTCAACACGTCGTATGTCGATTCGATAATGTGGACCAAGTCCTCCACTGTCGAGCCGTGCCTTTCAATGGCGACTGTAAATTTCACACACTGGGAATCGTCCGACTTTGTATCTTGCTCACAGGACAGGCGCTTCCACATGGATGGCGGCCGCGATCTCACCAAGGGTGACACGATGGCGTTCACCGAAGCGACGCTCGCCTGTGACCCATGCGGTCTGCTGCAAACCAATGATTGATACATGCTCGCTTGTGTCGTGGACATGGTGGAGTTTGTGTACGACAGGACAGAGGCACGCTGTGGGGCTGCTGGTAGTGGCGAATGAGAGGCATCGGTGGTCCTGGGCATGTATGTGCGAGCCATGATGCGCACGTTGAGCATGATTGTGTCCTTGTGCGGTACGCTCGACATGTTGGCGGCGTGGATGAACGAGGGGATGCTTTGTTTGCCGCTGACATTGCATCTGAGCGATATCGCATCTGAATTGCGTGGATCAGTTGTACCTTCGGCCATTTGCGTCTCTATCAACATTAGCAATCGCAGGTTTGTAAATAGGTGGTTAAGTATATGATGGTATGATATGAAATTTGCATGGTTATTACATTATAACATTATTTCAGCAACAATACATGGAAAATGACATGTTGGCATGTAGTTCAATGACTTACCCTGTAGTAGTTGACAATACTAAGCTTATAACAGCAAACAAATGTCAGTCAATATTTTGTGCGATAGAGTTAAGGCTGGTGTGTATATAAATGCAGAAGAATAAATAATTTGTAACTCAATTTAGTATTACTTGTTATCAGTGTTAATTTGTAGAGTAATAATATGCTGGGAAATAGTAAGAAGCAAGAAAAGAAAAAAAAATATGGATAGCTATGAAAACATCAGAATGAACGCGTTATAATTTTATAAAGCAAGAGAAAATGGCCAATAAACTTTATAAAAATGGAAGGTTAAAGCGATGGAAATAAATTTGTCTGTCACCTTCCTTTGACAAAGCCAGAGTACCACCTGCCAAAAAAGGTTTCGAATGCCATTATTGACAATGAAAATGAAAATGACATTGAAATTGAAATTGTCGTGTCCTCTTGTTCACATTCTTGTTTTTGAATTTTCGCAGAATTATAAACAGATGTGTGGTGTGTAATATAAAAGCAAAGAATACAAAGAATACAAAGAATAAATTAAAATGGGGATTCGGGGAGGGGGCGGTTCATTGAATTGACCAATTGTCCTTTGGTTTATAATTACTGGTGGAAGGTATTGTTCCATTATTATTTGACAATGAGAGCGAATGAGGGATTGAGAGCGAAAAGATTAAAAGCGGCTAAAAATAAAGCATATTTCATTGATTGTCGAATTAAAACTTTTGAAAATAGTTGGCTCAGTATTTTTTGTGGGAGTGGTGATTATGCATACATCGTGCATAAATTTCAAAATATTTATGATAATATGCTGGTAAACAGATATTCTGGCAAAAGTTAGTACGTTTTGTTCAAGCCACATGCAAACTACAATGAGCTGGTTCGACACTAATACCCAACACCTTTATTTAGCTTTTTCTCCCTGTTCCCTCGCATCCCTCATTTCCCCTCTTGTTGAAAGTATATTGTGCATATGAGGCTGTGGCTGTGAATGTAAATGTAAATGTGGCTGCATTGCTTCATTTAAAATAATGTGCTGCCTAGAACACACAAAAACATAATATAAAAACAATATAAAGTAAAGCAAAAACATTAAAACAATCATTTTGTACTTTTGGTAGTATTGTTTGTAGCGGCACTGCCTTGTTGTCAACAGCACATTGTACGACAAAAGGATAATTAGCACGCACTTGGAAACCCGCTAATACCAGCGCTAACAGTATCAGCACCGGCGATCTACAGTCAGTGACTGTGATTGTGGCAGCAGCAAAAAATACCTTGTATTTTGAACCGATAGTATGGTGACGACACGCGCGCCTCCTATTTGAAACAGTAAAAAATATATATTGACTTAGACCAAACCAAATCCAGATGAATTCTCGATGGCAGTGAGCAGACGCGACCGCATTATCGGATCGGACTCGTACGCGGGCAGCAGCAAGCGGCCAAAGCAAGTCAACGAAGTGGGCAGACGGTCGCTGTGGGGGCCATTGCGCTGGATGACAAATGTGATATTGTCGTAGCCGCCCAGGGGCAAGCGGTCGGAGGCTGTGACAAAGGCCAGCAGCTGGCACAATTGCTCCTGCGAAAATAAGCCCACAACGCGCCAGAACCGCTGCACAATCGGGTGCACCGCCGTGTACTCGTCGTCGTAGCCGGCAATGCGCTGCAACTCACTGACATCAAGCACCCCGCCGTGGTTGCTGACGCCGTTGGCAGAGCTGCTGCCGCTGCCGCCGCCGCCCAGCCATACGACCAGCTCGCTGGGCCAGAGCATGCGGTAAACGACGCTGTCAGCAGCACGCATAAAGCCGCTGCGCAGGGCGTTGATCTGCGCACGTGCATGCTCAAAGGCAATGAACTCAAGGTAGCGCCGCACATATTGCGCGCGGTTGGCGGCGGTGACATTGATGGTGCTGCCGCTGTCGACCAGCGGAAACGTCACAGTGTCGGCTGAATCAGCGGTTATGGGCAGTGGCAGATGCGCAAACGGCGGCCGCAGCGTCAGATGGGCAGTCTCCGCCGACCCGGTGGTCTCGCCCCCAATGGCAGCTTCGGCGCGCATGTGCCAGACGCGCAGAGGGTCAGGCACTGTGATTTCGAATGAGCGGCAATAAATGTCCTCGACCGAGCCGTTGCTCTCGTCCCACTGGAGCAGATGCAGCAGCCCGTTGACGAGCTCGGGGAACGACGACTGCATGCGCTCGGTGAACACGGCTAGCGGCACGCTAGCGAACCGTGCTGGCTGCTGAGGGCCGCTGTGGGCGAGCAGGCCGGCAAGCATTGGTGCAAGCGGCGCTGTGGCCGAGTCAAGCGTAATCCCGTTGGCAAAGGCAATGCCCAGCAGCATGCCGACAGTCTCAAAATCGGCCAGCGAGTGCGGCGACGCGGCGTTGGGCCACAGATAACCGCGGCCAGCGGCCACAACCTCAAAGAGGCCGCGCTCAGGCGTGAGCAGCTGCGGCAAAAGCTGCGCAAAGAGCTCCTTCTGCACGCCGCCCATGTCGAGCCCGTCTTCGCCGCCCATAATGAAGCGCACCTTGAGCGGGAAGCGCACGCGACCGCGCGCTGCCGATAGCATGTCGACGGTGTCCAGCAGCAGGCGCGAGCGGTGCACGCTCAGCACAAGGTACGGGCTGCTGGCTTGCGACACCGCGGCGGTGCTGGCCGCCAGCAGCGGCCACTGCGGCCGTACGCCAGCGTAGACCTCGCTCTCAGCAACTGGGTCGATGCCCAGCACACGCTGCTGCTGCACGAGCTCGGCCTGGCGGTCGTGCGCGCCCAGATAGCGCTGTGCCATGCGCGCGTGCATCTCGACGGCCAACAGCTTAATCTTGTCGGCCAGCCCAAATAAGAACGGGTACGCGAACGGACTGAATATGTTAAGCGCCGTCCGTCGATCACTGGCAATGGCGGCGCCCCTGCTGCTGTCATCACAAATGCCGTTGACATCGTCCTGCTGCTGCCTGCTGCGCTCACGCATCGCGTTGATCCACCGCAGCAGCTCATGTCGCAGATCAAAGCACGCGAGTAAGCGGCGGTCGCGGAACTCCTTTAGCGACACGACGTTTGGCCGGCCAAACCCAATGTGACCGTGTGGCAGTGCCAGCCGCTGGGACACGCCAGCGTGGGCCATCGAATCGGCCCCAGCCCCCAAGCGCATCAGAGCGTGGTTGGCGTCGCTCAGCAGCCGCAGCAGCTCCAGCGCGCCGGCGTGGCGCAGCGGATTGGCCGCTACGCGCTGCGCCATCTCGTAGTCGCTGCTAACGAGCCCCCCCAGCTGCTTAACGGTGTCCAGCGCCTCGAGCTGCAGCGGCCTGACCCACAGCTGCACAACCACGGCCGGCATACGCGCCCACCACCGCAGCCACTGCCGCCGCATGCGACTGTCGCGCGCAAACCGCACCTGCCAGCCTTGCGCCAGCTCGGCAGCCGACAGCGGCTCAGTAAAGTACGTTATGCGCAGGACCAGCCGCCCCACACGCCGCTGCAGCTCGGCGCGGTCGACGTCCTCGCACGCGCTCTGCGTCACCACTAGCGCCAGCACCATTGCGGCAGTACCCAGCGCTCGCGCCAGCGCGTCGGCCTCCGAGTCGCTGAGCCGCGTGTTGCTGGCTGCCGCGGCGGCCTCGGCCTTGCGCAGCCGCGCGTCGATTTCGGCGATGCTCGGACGCAGCGCGTGGATGCAGGCCGTGCCCTTGCTCGCAGCGTGCATGCTGAACCGCAGTGCCGTCGGCAAGTCCATAGAAAATGGCGCCTGCCTGTCGCTTGCCTCGATGAAGCACTGCGAGAGCAGATCGGCCGAGCCAAACACCGCCTGCATCGTGTTGCACATCAGTTGTCCATCGATCACTATCACCGAGTGCGCCGTTTGTGCGTCCAGCCGCAAAATTGCAACCGACGATTCGCTGCCAAGTACGCCCGGCGGCGCTGCTATCGTTGTCAGCGGCGGCGGCAGCGACAGGATCTGCGGAGGGGGTGTCTTTGCCGCCTTGATTCCTGGAGCCAAGCCGCTTTTGGTTGCCGCACCCAGCAGTGCCTCGGCAACCGTGCTCATCGGCTCGTGTATGCTTCCCGCAGCCCTGCTATTGCTGGCCCTGTCGCCAGCTAGGGCGCGCCGCATGCGTGCGTTGAATGTCTGTGCAAATGACCGCTCTTTGCTGCCAACATTGCTTGTGCCTGCATATGTGCTAGACTGCCCGGCATGGCTCCTTCCCAGCTGCGCATCGGTATGTGGCTGGATGTCTGCCTGCTCCGGGTTCTCGGCTGCCCGCTGCGCCAACTCTAGTGCCAACGACTCGACTGCCGCACCCCCTAGCCGCTGTAAGCGCCTGGTGTAGCGAGCGTTGCCGCGGCAGAACACCACCTCGCACGGCCCAGCCTTGCATCCCTCACGCAGTTGCGCGGTGAACATCGCGCTAAGCCGCGCCACCCGCATCCGCATGCAGCTGTGCCTCTCGCTGCTTGGCGAGTGCTGTTTGATAGCGGCGCGAAGGGCCGGCTGCTTGAACGCCTGTCTGATGCTTTCGTCCTTGTATGTATTTTCGGCCCACTGGAGCCATTTGGCTTGCGAGGTTTTTCCGTCATCGCATTCGGCCAAGCTCGGTGAATCGTCGTCAATGCCCTTCATTTTGAGTTGTGAAGAAATACAAGCAAGCGAGCCAGTGTGTAAATTAGGTTGAATGCGGGTAATAAATACAGAAAAATACAGAAAAAAATACAGAAAAATAGGAAAGGGTAAATTGAGAACAAAGAAAGAAAAATATTTGCTTGAGAGTGAGTGCGGAGCATGACCACTCGACCTTTCGCTTTTGGCATTGAGCCCCAGCCTAACACTGGTGATGAAATTGGCCTGATTTCCACCTAGCGTTCACTGAGCGTTCACCTAGCGTTCATTTAATGTGCGCCAGAAGAGCAAAGCAAAGAAATGCAAAGCGGAGCTGTTCCGATTTTCTCTTCTCTGTTGCTGCCAAACTGCTTGAAAGACGCTGCTGTTTTGGATTTGCACACTGCATATCCAGCGGCCTAATTTCCTATTTTACTTCTACACGCCCACGCTCCCGCTGCCATTTTTTTCCCTTGTGCATTTATTTATTATGTCTGCGGCCTGGCAAGTTACCTCCTCTTCCTTCACTATGTAAGTTTACTTTTTTTCTCTCTTTATCTTGGCCACCTATTTCTGCTCGACTTCTACAAATACAAAAACAGCACCAACTCCACCGCAAAAGAACGACAATGTTTGGCCTGCCGTCCGTAGCGGACCGAGTGTCGCTCACTGTCGTCTCCATGTTCATGGTGGTCGCCGTCTTGCTGCTCTCGCTGCATCAGTTTTCGCCGAGCAGCCGCATCCACAACCACTGCCGCGCGCTTCAGCGCGACGGCTGGTGGGCAGACAAGCAGAGCCTGCTGTGGCAGCCCAACGGGTGTACGCTCAGGAAATACTCTGCGCTGGACGTGCAGAAGTGCCTGGCGCCGTCGCCCGCCCACACATCGACGCTCATCAGCGAACACGTGCTGTTCATCGGCGACTCGTCACTGCGAAACAAGTTCTATGCGTTGGCGAACATTATCAACCCTGACTATATGCGCACTGTGAGCGACACCAAGGCGCACAGCGACCTGACCGTCGGGTGGCCGGCGATCGGCGGCGCTGTGGCCAGGTTCATCTGGGATCCATACCTCAGCAGCAACCAGACCAGAGAGGTACTCGAGGGCCGCGCGCCGGTTGCGCCCAGAGTGCTTATCGTTGGCACCGGCGCCTGGTACCTCCACAATAGCGACGAGTCCGGCGGCGTGCACGAGTGGCGCAAGACTGTCGACCGGTTGGTGCTCGACATAGCGGCACTGCGTGACAACGGCTCTGTCGAGCACATCTATGTCAGCCCGATAAGCACGGTCGTGCCGAGCGCGCTATCTACAGAGCGGCAGCGGACGCTGAACCCCGACACCATTGGAAACATGAACGCATATATGGACGCACTTGATCTGCCGATGCTCATGGCGTGGCTGCGGATGACCGAGGGCATGGCGGCCGAGACGCAGGACGGGCTGCATTACTCAAAGGCGCTCAACAACCGCGCTGTTGGCGTGCTGCTCAACCGCGTGTGCAACCGCGAGGTGTTAACCAAGCACATGCGGCCGCCGTTCCTCACAACGTGCTGCTTTGAGTACCCGGCGCCCAATGGCTTCGTGGTGCTGATGGCGGCGCTGACGGTGGCTGGGCTGCCGCTGTTGATTGTACTTGGCAGGCAGCTGCCGGCCGGCGCGGTGCCGTCGGCGCGCACGCTGTGGCAGATGCTTCTTTTCTGCAGCGTCCTGCTTTTTATGTACGTGTGCGACCGGACGCCGCTGTTCGCCAAGCTGCACAAAAGCTTTGACGCGCGCGTGTTTGCGCTGCTCATTGGATTGGCGCTGGCTGGCGGCGTGGCGACGTGGGATGAGGACAAGAGCGGCGGATTCCTCGGGCGGCAGCAGACAGACGAGTGGAAGGGCTGGATGCAGATCGTCATCCTGGTCTACCACCTGCTCAACGCGTCGGCAGTGGCGGCGATCTACAACCCGGTGCGCGTGTTGGTGGCCATGTACCTGTTCATGACGGGCTACGGCCACTGCGTCTTCTTTATTAAGAAGGCCGACTTTGGGCTCAAGCGGCTGACCAGCGTGCTGCTGCGCACCAACCTGCTGGCCGTCGCCCTGGCGTACATGATGAACACCTCGTATATGGACTACTATTTTGCGCCGCTATCCAGTGCCTGGGTGCTCGTTGTTTGGCTGACGATGCGCGTGGCGCCGGCACTTAACCAGACCAACGGCGTGTGGGTCAAGCTGCTTGTCTCGGCGGCTCTGGTGAGTGCTGTCAACCGCTGGCACCTGTGGCCATTCGCATTGCTGGCTCGATGGGCGTGCGTTGGGTGCAACGCGAGTGGGAGTTCCGCTTTGGCATCGACATCTTCATTGTCTACATCGGCATGGCCACGGCGTTGGTCGTTGTGCGACACAGCGCACAGTTGCAGCAGCACGTGCGGTGGGCGCAAATGCAGCGCTGGGCCGTGCTGTTGTCGGCCGCATGCGTAGCGTGGTACTTCTGGTTTGAGGCGACGCGCAAGGACAAGTTTGTGTACAACGCCTGGCACCCTTATGTGTCCCCATTGGTTGTGCTGGCATTTGTTGTGCTGCGCAACTCGACTGAGACCCTGCGCTGCCACACCAGCTCACTGTACCGCGCGACCGGACTCATCTCGCTGGAGCTGTTTATTGCGCAGTTCCACTTATTCTTGGCTGCCGACACCAAGGCTGTGCTGGTGCTAACGCACCCGCGTCTGTGGTTTATCAACCTGGCCGTTGTGTCGGTCGTGTTTGTCGGCATGTGCCGTCTGCTGGGCGACGCATCAGGCGCCATTGTCGCGTGGATGATGGCCGTGCCGTTGGGTGCTGCCACTGCAGCTGCTGCTGCTTCTGGGGAACCCACTGCCGGCGGCGCCGACAACATTGCGATGCTCGAGTTAGGATCGAATTTGGTCACAGATACCGATGACACTGACAGTGACAGTCGGCAAGCACAGGTTCTGAGTCGCCTGGATCGGCTGGCTGCCAAACCGCGGTTGATAATGCGTGTAGGACAGTGGCTGCGCCATGTAGCTGTGCACTCACTGGGCCTGCGCTGGGCGCTTGGACTCTTGGCGCTGCTCGTACTCAACAACATTTACGACTGAACCAACATAAAAACAAAAACATTTCTTGCCTGCTTGCTTTTTTATTCTGCCAAATGTCTTGGCAAAATAACAGCTTTTGGATCGGCGAAAATAAAGAGAAAGGGGAGAGAGAATGATGCTGATGCATAAAATCAAGCTGTGCTGCTTTTGTTGTGGCAAAACAATTTGCGCTTATCATTATAAGCGTTGGCAATGAAACAAAGCGAGAATGTAAAATACAATAAAAATGGACAGACATTCTGACCACTCTGCTTATTGGCTTTTTCGTAATCTTTTGACTCGGTTATTCTTTGAGTTGAAAGCAAAATTTTTATGATAATGGAGAAAAACAAAGCTGACGTCAAAGGAGACTAAAAACGGGAAAGAGAGGTCATGCGTCAAAGGATTATTCGGATTTTTGTGCTTTTTGCGCCCGCTTTGTTGTTCGTTGTTCACACATTTTTTGCTATAATTTCGCGTCCAACCCCTTTTTCTCTATTTCATTCTTCACTTCCAGTTTTTATTCTAACCTACTATTACACTTTTTTCTTTTTTGTTGTATTTCGCGAAATTACACAACCAGCCCAATTCACTTTCAATTCAATTCAATAACTAGCATAGAGTCAACAATGAGCGACGACTATGCAAGAAACCTAAGCAGCCTTAACGAGCTGTTTCCAGACATGGACAAAGAAGTTGTGGACATGGTGCTTCGCGACAACGCCGGACTCATCGAACCCAGTGTCACCATATTGCTTGGCATGAACGACCCCTCATACAAGCCCGAAGAACAGGTAACGTCATCCATATGATGCTGTTGGTATTACCTATTGTATTTGTATTTTTGCTGTTGAGTGCATATGTATTGTTACTAACTGTCGATATATTCAATTATATATTATTTATGTGTATTTAGGAGGTTGACCGACAGAATACTCTGCAAAGAGACGCTGAGCTGGCACGCAATCTTGCGCAAAGAGACCTGGCTGCATCCAATTACCAGCACCAACAACAGCAACAGCAACAACAACAGCGGTATCCTGGACCTCGGCATTACGGCTCACCTCATCCTCCAGTGCAACCACCAAACCAGCAACACACCAGCGCACAGCCTCAAAAATCCGCAACATGCTACGCTTCGGCAAGCGCTCCACGCCCGAAACAGCATCACCATCCCCAGCAGCAACAACAACATTAGCAAACACCACCGCATCGCCTTATACTCGCCAACAATATGGTGCGGAGCCACCAGAGATTAGCACGCAGAGGAATAACTTGGACTCTGATTTTGACTCTGCTTCGGATAATGATGATGAGGAGGTAAATAGGGCGAGTAAGACGCCTGTGCTACCGGTGAGGTCGCAGGTGGAGGATGGAATGAAGGCTGTAAGGAGAGAGCCTAGTGATATGTTTGGTCTGCTAGATGAGTCTAATGATCTGGCTGCAACCTATGTGCCGCTGAGTCCGTCAAAATTGCTGCAAAGAATGTCAATATTGGCGGCGCCGCCGGCAGCAGCAGCAGTGTGGTAGTGCCGGCCGACACCCAGCAGCAGCATGATGAATTCCAGCGCCAGACTCAACAGCAGCAGCGATTCTACCAAAACGAACCGCAGCTCCAGCTCGATGACCTTGGAAGCAGCAGAGCATATTCCTGCAGCAACAGCGGCCTGCATCGCCATTGGCGCTGGACCTGGGAATCGACCTCAACAACCCATTTGACACCAACCCGCTGCTCCAATCCACCAACCCCTTTGCGCCGACGCCGACGCCTCCACTGGCACTGGCCGAGGACACCAACCCATTCCGGGCGCGCAACCCGCTGAACAACATCAGCAACAGCAGCAACAGCACCCCGCCAAACGTATGACCAACGCGAAACAACCTCCATATTTATTATTGTTCAATTAACTCGTAATCCAATATATTCTAATCTAATTCATAACCTTCCCCATGAAATGGCGCTTCTGGAAACACAACCACCACTTGCTGGCATCTCCAACTGCCCACCAGCATACACAACCGTAACCAGCCGCGTAGCGACCTCCTGGCGCACCTGCAACAAATACTGCCTCAGCATATCTGCCTCCGCACGGTCAGCTACCGCCGGGTACATGGAATGCAGTGGGAACCCGGCATCCGCTGGAATAACAACCTGGCTGACCGCCAACGAGTACAGCGCCTTTGTCGCTTCGCCCAACGGCATCGTTGCCTTGATCTTGTTCAGACACTGGGAAATAAAAAAAATAGTGTATATTAAGAGCCTGTCACCGTTACCCTTGATTTCAAAGTTTTTGAAAAAACTGTTTGGCCGGAAAAGCTCAATCGTCTCATCAACAATATCATAAGTCATCGAAGGATCTGCTACAAAATATAAAAATTGAAATGAAATGAAATGACAGTTGAGGCTGTTTTTTTGGTCATTAGCTTTCTGGACAAGTCTGTAGTTGCCGATTGCGCAAATTTTATATTGTTTTAAATACAAGCACCCCCTCCTTGCTGCTTACCGTATGGTGCTGGTCCGCGCGTCTTGGTCACCAGCGGCAGCAGCGGAATTCCATTAATTACGCGCACATCGTTCACTGAATTGTAGTTTGAATGGTATGCGGGCATCTTTGACTCGAAATTTAAAAAGTAAAAATAAAAATAAAGGAAATGCGAATATAGAAGTGTGAAAAAGAATTAAAGTGCAGATGAGAGAAAGAAGCAAAATTATTATTGTGAAGTAAAAAAGAAGCAAAAAATAGTCACATTCGAATTCACCTTTTTTTGCACGTTCGCCCCCTTATCCTTTTTGCTCACCTTGCAGTTCCTTTTATGATTTTAAATATGATCATGTGCTCAGCACGTGCATTGGATCGGATTGGACAAGGTGAAACAATACAATCTCCGCCTAATCACCTTGCCGTTTTTTTATCTGTGACGTACATGTATTTGTATAAATACGTATAACAATACGATATTTTATAAACTACATAATAACAAAGATCCACATTCAAATTTATCCGTTTGCTCGATTAGACGCATTCTGTAAAATAGATCATTTAAAATCCAAGGGAAAAACGTATTCCCCCATTAAAAAAATGTGTTGATTTATTTGGTGTCTCATTGCAATAGTGTGTTAATTAAGATATGCCTGGGGAGTGACAAGGGAATGTAAAAAAGGATGAAACAAAAAACTTGACAATAAACTGGCTACAAAACAACCATGGAAAAGTGACAGTGTGAATAAAAATTTTATTAGCAAACTTGACCGCTTTAATTGAAAATTTTCTCTTTCTGTGACAAAAGTCCCCCCTCTCCCCAGCATCTTTTTTTTGGTCTTTTGACAAATGTCTGTTGACTTGAAGTCACATTCTGCGTAAAAAATAAAAAAGCAAATAAAGGGGAGCGGTCTATATAGACAAGACAAAACATATCTAGTCGGTTGTTTTTGTCATCTTTTTTTCTTTTTTCTTTTCTCCTTTCTCTACACAATCTCATTCATTTGCTTATTTATTGCATATAGACAGATATTTATAATTTTAAAATGGGACAGTGCTTTTCAAGGGGCTCCTCCTATCCCCACTACTACGATAACTGGGCTCAGCCTAACAATGGTGGGTACTACAGTACCAGTCAAAACAGTCAAAACAGTCAAAACAGCAACTTTTTTGGAATGAGTATGGGCGCTAACCACCAAAATAGACCTAAGCTTACAAGAACATACCATTGGAATGAGTACTGACTGCCACAATCGAGAAAAATAAAAGGCTTTTACACCTTTTTTAAAATCAACATTGAGCCAAATTGTTGGCTGAATTGTTTTGCTACCACTCTCTTTTCTGCCACCCACCTTTTATTTTGTCTTGTCCTCTTACTCTCGGAGAGTTGACTTGTTGGTGATAGTGCGCACAACAACATCTGGGACAAGTGCGACAAGATAACTGCGACATTGTGAGCATGAACACACCTCATCCTCCCCAGCAGCACCAATACCGACTTGGACACGTTTGGCGGTATATTTGACAAGCTGGGATTTTTGTTTGGGGCTTTACAGCGGGCTGGGTCTGCTGGTAGTGATAAAGTCAACAAATTGCCCAAAAATAATATGACCAGAATGAAGCGAGGCAGAAAAAATAAAATACACAGATGCTCCAGCTATTTTGGTTATTAACATATTTTATTCTCCCGATTACTACGCTGTCGTCTGATAGTTTGGCGCATTTTTGGAGGGGACTGTTGGTGTCAAGTAAATTCGGGGCCGCATGCGATCGACTAACGCAGCAGCCTGCTTTTGGATAAGAAAATTCCCAGTTTATTTAGTGGTTTTATTGACATTAGCTGTTTTGGTATTGATTTATTATATATTAACGACCGAAAAAAACATTTTCATCTTTCAAAAAAATCGGGATCTCTAGTGAGCAAAACATAAAAAAAGTATTTTATGTGCAGCTTCGCAAAGTCTTGTTTATTTTTTACTCGGATATGCATACATAAACAATAAAACGAGACTTGAAAGTAAAATATCCACCAGCTTTACAACAACAAAACTAAAATTAAAATTAAAAAAGATTAGCTAAAAGCTAATTTTACATACAATGTCTGTAATCTGCCTGCATATGTGATCACCATTAACCAAGGCATAAATTAAAAAATGTGAAAAACACATTTAAACCATTTTGAAATGTCATATAATTGAACATTCTTTATATATTGTCAAGATAAATGTACTATAAAAGCCCAATTACAACGTTAAAAACTTTTTATCTAAACGACTATTACCATTGTGCGTATAACCGTGGTATCAAAACAAAATACCTCAAACTGGAGCGGATACTTTGGCACACAAACGGCGTGTAAATAAGATACATGCCGGTTATAAACTAATAAACCCTATAAAAACATGTATCTTATTGCATATATCCTAGTCAAAATTTATTTGGATTTGCGTCTGAGCTGTACATCGTGCCCATTAGCCAGAGTTCTCAATCTTGATAAGCTTAAATACATTATTAGAACTCGAATTAGCATTAGAAAGTGGATAGTCCTTACCATCAATAGTAAAAATTAAATCTGATTTTCTACTTTAGCAACTGCTGGCAGACGCTTAAATTCATTATAAATGTCGAGCAATCTCAAATCCTTGTTGGCCTGGAAATACCCAATTTCCCCGTGGCGATGAATGAGTACAGTGATAGGTGTAGCCATTTTCAGTTAACCTTGATAGTAGTGGAAGCAATGAAAGCAGTTGGGTGAATTATGGCAATGAAATATATATATATGAAAAATCTATGATGAGAAAAGGTGGTCTAAATAGTGAACATTTATATGATTTTGGAAATGAATTGATTTTCACAACCATGGTTTCCTATTTACTTGTTGGCACTTACATCCTACATACTTTTTTCTACACAGCGAGTTTACCATTAAAGCGTTTATTTTAGGCTTTTAGTGACATTAGTAGTAAATATATTCCTACTGAATGCTGTTATACTCCCTATTTTCATTCCCACAGGTTTTTTGGAAATATATCACTTTCTTATTTGAATAATTACATGTTAGGGATTTTAGGTGCCTATAAAACCTAACACTTTTTATTAAAAATAACATGCAAAAATGTCTTGTTCTCATTGGGCACTAAAGCAATGGCATGAGGCTAGTGACTGACTTAATAAATGGGGTAAAAGCCCCGCTTTGCAACTATTTAACGCGAAAAAAGGATGTAGATATTTCCTAATGTTTTTATTGGTTGATGGCGATCAACTGATTAACCAATCTTGGCTGTTTAGCCACTAAAAACCAAGAAGCCACAGTGACCAAAGCAATGTTTTCTTCACTGTTAACAATGCATAGCACTTATTTATTAAATACACCTTTATATAATAATAGTTTATCTACACGTTCATAGAACGTTTTATCATCCCAGCTTTTCTATTGCAAATACCAACCTATATATTCACCCACTACTTACAATAAACAAATGGAGCTTGCTCGCCTGGGTTTAAAAAGATTTCGAGCTTTATGGGAACTTCCGCGAATAAAGTCGTGTCAATGTGTCATAATTTTAAAAGCCATCATTTATTTATTAAACCAAGTACAAAGAACTATTGACGTTGAAAAGCAAAAAAAGTGAACCTCTTGCGCTGCATTACTTTCAGGTAAAAACAGCAAGGCAAAACTTGCTGACTGCAAATTCAATCGGCTGCTAATGTTGCTGACTTCGGAAGCTGTTGACTACAATAGTCGTTGACCAAAGCAATTTGGAGGCGCTGTTTGTCTATGCCAGCACCAGCTCATTTTATTTGCTTTTAATGCTTGCTTGGATGACACGATTTTATGTCCATTGTTTTTTTTTTCCAAAATGCGTAATTGTGTACATTTGCTTTACTTGATTTAACATTTAACATTTAAATTTTATTAACAATGGTTAAATATTTTTATGTGATGTGTTATTTTTGGGAGGTAATGGCCAAACGCTCCATTTCCACAACCAGTTTGTCGCTCTGGCAGCAAGGGGTTGAAGCCATTTCAATGTTTTCCTTGCAGGTCTCTAAAAATGTTACCATAGAGATGCCGTGAATGTTTACCATCGTTTGCATAAAGCAGTCAATGAAACTATTCCATTTTAGTTCGACAGTGCCTATCTTTTCAAAGGTACCGCTATAAAAGTCGCAAAAACGCATGATAGAAGCTGTCAGTGGGTGAGTGGATTTTTGGCACTTTATCATATACAACGGCATTACTTGGCGGTGGAAAATACTATTTAGCGGCATAATAAGCGACTCGACAGCTTTGAGTTTTTTGTAGTTGACTTCGTATACCGTGTGGTTGTTCAGCCGCCCCTGCAAATCAACCAAGTAGAGTACCATTTCCCACCAGATACCGCCAGGATATGTCTCTTCAAGTTCTTCAATCAGCGTTCCGTTGCCTGGACCTAATTCGAGTTCTCGGAGCACAAGCTGAAGCGAATTCATATCAAGGATACCTCGATTCAAGTGTAGGCCTGTCCCTTCTTTGACCAAGATGTTGCGCGCAAAACTGGCATAGAATACCATGTTTTCTTCTTTTGACCATAACCGTAACTGCATGGTTGTGCCCATTTGCCAGGTTTTGTTTTGTGGTTTGTGTCTTTCCGAAAGGTTGTCCATTACTTATATTACGAGAACTATGGATAAATGAGTTTGGGTTGAGCTGGTTGATGCACAGTTTTTTCCCCTTACTTTTTATTTTTCTGCGCGTGTCCGATTTCTGCTCTAGTTGTAGGTATGTTTGTCTAGATATAATTTTTTTAGGTTTAAAAAGGAGGTGATGGTTAAAATATAAAATAATACAGTGCCCGCAAAAGTGGTTAAGATAATTTTAAAGATGAAGAGACAAAATTGGCTCAGCACACAATTGCACAAGCATTTTAAGTCTCTCACATTTTTTCTTTACTTTCAAAACCCTCTTTTTATTTTACTTTTTATTTTTTTTATAAACAAGGCATGTTTCTTTTTTCTTTTTGATGCTTATTTTGCCTTTTAATTAAAAGAGAATGAAGGGAAATTCTTTAAAAACCCGCTTTTACATGTAAGAAAAAAAGAGGCATGGTGAAAGAGAACCCCGCAGTAAGAGATATTGCTGTACAAAACTTAAAGAGAGACTAACCAATCATTGTTAATAAAAGAGCTAAGCACATTTTTCTTTTGTTGCTCTGCTGGCTGTCTGTCTGTCTGATCGGAGAGAGGATCGGAATCATTTGGACTCATGAAGAAGAGAGGGGGAGGGATGAGCAGATTTGCTTGTGAAATTGTAATTTTTCCAGCGAATTTTTGCTTAGCTCACAGCTCATCAGCAGTGTAGCGTAAAGAGTGGGAATTTATTAAGCATGTGTTACTATTGAAAATGGGGGGGGAAAGTGATGTTCACTGCTTTTAATCTCGAAGCAAAAAAATGAAGGAAAATTGCAGATGACAACTCTCTCTCACTTTCTTTTTTTTGTCTGTTTGTCCTACATTATACTACACTATACTATTACTTATTGTTTTTCTTGTCTCCAATTTACATTTTACATTTCACAGGTGTGCCAGAATTAGTCATATTCTTTGGGAGGTTCTCTATCAATAAAAGATACATTTCAAACTCTAACCGGAGAGATTATTTTGACAAAAACAACCCCCCCCCCCAAATAATAAATGAGGCGGCTCTTGCCCACAAGCAGACGTGGCGGGTTTGCACTAGCCTCGGCAGCTATCGCTGCTCTGGGTCTTCTCAGCTACTTTGTATACGAAGTGCACAGTGAAAGCAGCCAGCAACAGCAGCAAGAGGACGATGTACCCCCAATGACTCAAGTAGCGACAGTGACAATGAAGCGGACCAGATCGAGGACATAATCAACATCGCCGATCACCTACAGCTCAACATCGACGATGAATGGCAACCACAGCAGCAGCAATCTTTAGCGCCACCAACAGCAGTCACTCAACCCTTGCTGGTGTTGAGCGATGGGCACTCGCAGCAACAACAGGGTCGGCGTATGCTGGCAATCAGCGCTCGCGGAATCATCCTGAACAGCGTGGACGGCCTTGACCGATGGTCGTCTAAAGTGAAGGTGTGCGCATCGGCAGAGGCCGTGCTTAAACGGCTGGGCAGCATATATAATGTTTACATTGTGGTGGTTGTCAGGGGAGAGGAGGATGAGGGGCGCATTATACGGGCCCTGCAGGAAGCGGTATTGTTGGAGCATCTCTGCCTACAGGCTCAGGGTCGGGCTCGGGCCCGAACTCGGCGACAGTTGATATTGCTGCTGCTAGCACTGGCGACCCGGGGATCTTGCCTCGGAACAACGTTCTGTTCTGCCAGACGGAGGAGGGCAAGTCGCATTTGGTCCGACACCTGCTGACACTCGCTGGAGTGACAAAGTTCAGCAGCAGGAATACGACATATGCGGGTTACGCCGGGTACATTGACACTAACCAGGATGTGATCCACAGGCTGGCCCAGGTGCTTCACGGGGTTGTGCTGGTCAACAGTAGTGGCCTGGCTAATAACGATGCCTTTATCAGCAGAGGAGATGTTCCTGGCACGCAGACTGCTTTTTTATCGGAATTGGCATCGACATCGACATCGACACGACATCGGCACACCGCACGCACCGGCACCGGCACCGGCACCGGCACCACCGGCACCAGTATCAACACCTGCCAATTTTTTGTCGTCCAACTCCATCGAGCGAGTGAGCGATATCACGCAGGCGTCGGTGTACGTCCAATAGACCCGATATAAAGCTGTATATAGAATGTAGAAAATGAGATAACGGAAAAGATAAAAGAGGCTTGGCCAACGAAAAAAGCAAGCCGAGTAAAGATTTTTAATAGGTTTGCTTACGAGCTCTTTGAGGCGGCTTCCTCCTGCAAAAGGCTCTGGTAAGCAGTGTCGAAAGCAGCGCGGTCCTCGTCGCTGCGCAGGGCCTTTGACGCACGCCAGAACACCGCCGCAGCAGAGTCAAGCTTGCGATTCTCAATCAAAAAGCGCAAGTAGCTGAGCCACTGCGCCTGCTTGGCCGGGCTGACGCGGCACGCCATCTCATGCAGCAGCGTCTTCTGCTTGAGCCGGGCTCCAGCTGCAAGCAGCGGCTGTAGAAGCCCAGCGTCGGGAACGCATGCCTGGCAACGTTGCTGTAGCGCGGCGGAAGGCCGCAATGTTTCTCGCCTTGGGATGGCCAGTGCCACTGTCGCTGCCGCCGTCCGCCCGTCGCCGTCGCTGCCGCTGTCGTCGATGCTGGCGCCGGCCGCACTGATTTCCGCAGCGGTGCGCAGATGCACGTGCGCGGGCAGGCCCCAGGCCCAGCTGACGTAGCGGCACTGCAGGTGCGCCTTGAGCTGCTCGTGCTCGGCGCCGAGCTGCGCCGCACGGATGAACGCGACAGATACCGCGCCTGCACGCGGTCGGCCGAAATGTCGCCTGCGCTGAACCGCTGCTCGTCCACCCGAGCCACAAATCCCACACCAGCTTTGACTGCGCCACGGCCGGCAACGCCTCGCACTCGAACAGCCGCTCGATGCGCGCGGCGCCGCTGCTGCCGCTCAGGCCGGGCTCGGCCTGCGCCGCAATGAGCGCCGCCAGCCGCTGGTGCCACAGCCTGTCCGACCCCGGGAAGCGCTGCGTGGCGTCTGCCAGCCAGTTGAGCAGCGCCTGCTGGTCCTCGATCATCCCGGCGAACGCCAGCGCCAGCGCCTCGTCCAAGCGGCCCTGCTTGTTCTCGCTGACGGCGCCCATCGCGCGCTCAAGCAGCGCAGTGAAGTACGCATGCAGGCTGGCCATGTCGCCGACGGACGCGCGCTGCCACTGGGCTAGAAAGCCAACGTACTTGGCCCACATCTCCGGCGTGTCGATGTCGGCCAGTGCCTGCGCGAACTTGTCGACCGACAGCCGCAGCGCGTCGATGAACGCGGGCGACGCGACGTTGGCGCGCGCAAGGTGCGCCGAGCACAGGTAGCTCCGGGCAGGGGCGTCGTGGGCAAAGTCCCTGGCGATCGACTCGAGCACGTGCCGGCGGCCCTCCTCCATGCCCTCGAACTTCGAGAAGATCGACGCAAACTCCTCGCGGAAGCCCAGGTCGTCGGGCACCGCGGCGATGGCCTGCTCGAAGACCACGCGCGCAACGGCGCCCTGCAGGTACGCGTTGGCCTGCTGCGCCATTGCCGAGCGCTGCTCTGCGCTCAGTGCCGCTGGTTTCCGGCCGCCGGCCATTTTGGCCAATGCGCTTGCCTCGAGCCGCTCTTCGATCAGCCGCAGCTCGTCACCAGCCGCCTGCCTCTCCTCGTCGAGCTCGCCCAGGCGGATGACATTGGCGTCCTCGGCCGCGACAGCCCCCTCGGCCGCGTCCTCGGCGCCGGCCGCGACAGCCTCCTCGGCGCCGTCAATGCCGAGCACGCGGCGACGCGCCTTGATCTTCTCGACCAGCAGTATCTCCAGCCTAAAGTACTCGATCCACAGCCGCTTGTCCTTCGGGTTAACCCTGATCGCGCGCTGCAGCAGCACCCGCGCCGCCGTCCCATTGACGTTCGCCTCGAACTCATGCGCGGCAGCCAGGATCCACAGCTGCGCCTCATACGGGTGCGCGGTGATCGCCCTAGCATACAGCTGCCCGAGCAGCCGCGTGAACCCCTGCGCGTCCTCATCCTGGGAGCCGCCGGCACGCTGGCTCTTGACAAAGTCTATAAACTGCAGCCACATGTCTATGTCGTCCGAATGCCGGACCACGGCGCGCTCGTAGATCGAGATAATCCGCTGCCTGATCGAGTAATCGCTCAGAGTCGTTTTCTGCCCCACCTGGCCCATTCGGCTCTTGCGCCGCTGGCGCAGGGCATCTACGTTCATCTCGTACTCGACGTAGCGCAGGAATGCTGCGCGTGGGACGCGGCGCCGCTTGAGCGCGTATTCGAACTTTGTGCGCTTTTTGACTATTGCTTTGAGCTCTGGCTTGCTGAATAACTCGCGACGCTCCAGGTCCTCTAACTCTCCGACCATCTTTTCAAGATGGTACTGAACGATTTCAGCCATGTTTTACTGTGTTTTTTTGGGTAAAGATACTTGGAAAAATTTTGAATTGCCTTTGAAGAATGAAAAAAGAAAGGTGAGAAAAAAAAAATTCATGTGTATTATATATATTCAATCCGGACAGCATTAATTTTTTTTCTTCTGCATCGGTGGCAATAATTTCGGTGATCTTGAGTTGATTTTCAAATTTGATCTGCGGTAATTGATGATGATAATGTTGAGGAGGGGGGGGAAGGGCAGGAAGGGATATGGATGATATTAGCCTTTTTCCCTCTTGCATTTTTCGTACTTCGCGCTATTGTTGAAATCATTTGTGATCATTGTTACAAAATATGAGTGTATGAAATCGCATTTCTAAACGAAAACCGAGGACACTTCCTATTGAGCCCTCCCATTCTGCCATTTTATAGGCAGCAGCTATAGCAGCTCTACAATGACTGAATTATAATAGCTGCCTGACTTGGCTTGCGAGCTCTAGGTTCACCCAGAACTTATGTGGTGACTCTCAACACACTATTGCTGCTGTTTGTAGGTCGACCAATATTCATGCTGCACAAAAAGACATACAATGTGCGGAAAATAATGGCAAGTACCCATTGAGTGATGTCAAAGAAACCGGTTGTTGATCTGATGCACTCGGTGTCGCCTGACGTCGTTCGATTACTGTGCACACGCTTTGATTATAAGGAACACCTTTTTTTATGCAGAAGAAAAGGGCAATTAGTCACGGCAACTTGGATCCGCATCTTTTTACCAGGCTTTTTGGTGTTGTGCTTTTTGAAGGAAGGGTGGCTCTGCATAACCAAATATTGTGAAATTTATAAAGTTTTTTTTGTTTTCAATTACATTTTTAACTTTATTGTTTTCTTTCCCTCTTCCCCCCCCCCAAAGATCCACTCTACCGCTGCAATATGCACGGCTTTACCCTGGTAAATAGACAAAAAAAACAATGACCTATGTCTGCAGTTTCCGTTTAATTCAAAAAGAAGAAGAAAAAGCCAACCCTGCTCCCTTGATTTTGTCACTCAACCATTTTTTTATGTCACCGCTTTTTGTGCGTGAAGGGGAGGGGGGGAGCTGACCAAACCAACCCAATTATATACTATTTCTGCACTTTTTCTTTCTTTTTTTTTTTGCTTGTATCGGAAAATGTTTTTTATCTGGATGCTAGACGTTTAATGATCATCTTTTTTCCCTTCACACATTTTGGCCGAAAAAAGAAGCGGCGGTTGGGCTTTCGCGGCCATTAAACACCAAGAAGCGGTATCTGTTTTTCTACAATTTTCCTCTATTTTTGATCAAACTTGCGAATCCCAAAAAAAAAAACCAACTACTGTATTGATAGTGCAATTGAAAAAGAATAAAAGTGGACAAAAAACCTCGCGACTTTTAAATTTTTATTAAATAGGACACAGTTCCATAAGTTTTTATTTGAAACTGCCCAGACACAAGTCATCGGGGATTTTTTTTGCATCATTACAAAATAGAGGACATGCAAAGTGACAAAATGTCGACACTCCCCTTTCTTGCGGGCAGTCTAGATTGTTTTGCCTGTCTCAAGATATACATTCTTTTTTATGGCTTTCAGCAAATTTATTTCCGTGTATTTTCTCTTGCTTTTATCCGTATTGTAGTCTTACTTTCACGCCTCTTATTTTTTATTATTATATCGTTCATTTTAGTTTGTATATTTTCTTGTTTTTTCTTTACCAAAACTGTCGCCACTGCAAGGAATGAGAATACTTGTCCGGACATTTGGTCGACATGCCACAGCAGCTACAACCTTTTTGACGCAAAATAAGCCCACTTTTTATTTACCCATCTTCACTGTATTCTTGAGAGCAAGTGCGGACGCGTGAAGCCGTTGGACTTCTCAATTCCTGGAATCAATTTTTGGTCCTTTTTTCGGCCTTTTGATTGGACACAGACTCCAATAAATATTCCTCCTATATTCTGCCGCTTTCTTTTCCCCCAAACTTCCGCTATTTTTTATTTTTAATACTTCAAGGATTTTATTATACTATTTTTTTGCCGCTTGCAATTGGAAGAGGAAATCCATCGAGTAGAATCATCCATTGAATTTTTTTACATTGTATATTTCTGTCGGGACGGTTGACCAAAAAAAAAAAAAGTAAACTGCTGTTGTTCAACTGGTGAGTGTGGCTTTTTTTCTTTCCCGTCAAAAGCGAGGTTGGTTATCTTTTTTGACCAAAAAAAGAGCGCCACCGGTGTTCTTCTCCGCTTTAAAAAGTATTTCCTTTCTTTTTTCATCTTTAATTTATTCCTTTTATTACTTATTATTTCTTACGCCCTCCCTCCCCCCTTTCTTTATATTCCCGTCTTCTGTGTATAGCACGGTGGCCCTGTTTGATAACCAGATCTTTGTTTCTTATATTTATGCCCATATAATTATATATTTTTAACTTACGCTCGCGCCTTTTTTCCTCGTATTTTTATTCATTTGTACAAAACGATCCGGCTCATATTTCATATTACTGCCCTGATCTCATATTTCGATCACATACATCTTGGCACACAAAACACATTTAATTTTTCTTTATTTTATTAGCTCATATTATATTTATTTTCTCCTTTTTCACTCACCCTTCCATATTCGGTTATCGTCTCTCCTCCCCCCTCCCTTCTTTTTTGTTTGCATGACAACACCTCAGCAGCACGCCTGGAATCTGGCTTCAAACAGAAGCTCTCCTGCGCCAGGCGCTTCTCAATCCCATCGACAGTTCACCTGGTCCGCAGGTGACGAAGACGACCCATCGTCATCCGACACGCCCAACCGTGCCAAACGAGCACAAGTCAAAAACGCCTGTGTCAACTGCCAACGCGCATGCAAAAAATGCGACTCTGGCCGCCCGTGTCTCCGCTGCGTAAAATATAATCTCCAAGAGTCCTGCGTTGATTCGAAGAGAAAGCCGCGTAAAAAGGGGATTAAGCGTGGCCCTTATAAAAAACGCAAGAAGAACGTTGACGACGATGCAGCAGTGGCAGCAGCAGCAACCGGCATAGTATTAAGGCCAGCAGCTACAGCTACAGCAGCAGCAGCAGGATCAGCAGGATCAGCAGGAGCATCGTCAATGATAGCTTTTCAATACCAGTCTGCGCCAGAAACAGCCGCGGTGCCAAGCGAATACCGACAATCAGAATACGGGCCGATATCAGGACCAAGCACGCTGCGGCAGATCCTTGGTGCCTCTGATAACTCTAATCGGCGATCAATATTCTCCACACGCCCCCGCCCACCGCAGATCTTAGGCCCGGGAGCCATTCCGATTCTTCTCAGCGACCCTATCCAAGACGACAATGGGTCTGGCGATTTGTCCAGCGGGTCCGACACTCCATTGGTGCAGAATCAACAGCAGCAAAGTTATTTCTACCAGTACCATAACCAGCACCGGACCACCCTGCGTTCGCCATTAACTATACCTTCGGCAGGTGCACGCCCGTCGTCTGTGGATATTCTGCCTGAAACACCGACAATGGGATTGACCTCGGCATTTGACTCGCTAGCGACCACCCAGCAGCCATACAGAACAAGCAATACGCGTTACCAACAGCACCAACCACATCAAGCACACCAGGCACATCAAGCACACCAAGTGCAGCAGCCACCGCAGCCGTCAATGATGCGACCGTACTCCCATAACAGCGGTGGCACTTTCAGACTACCGCCCATTGCATCGTTTGACCGCGCTCACCCTGTGCGCTCCCCGCCATCCTCCAACTCTCTAGCCATCTTAACCGATGTCGCCCTGGGCCGCTCAACCATGCGGCCGCCACCACCATCAAACATTGCGTCTCAACTTTCCCACTTATCGACCACTTCGCCGCCGCCGCACCACAGAAACAATTCCTCCATGTCGTCGCACTCGCACTCACACCCGCATTTGCGATCCCAACAACCACCTCCACCACGCCCACACTCCGATAACCCCGTCTACTACCACACCCCACACCCGCGACATCCACCAATTCCCATGCCAATGCCAATGCCAATGCCGCCACAGCAACACCAAGACCAACAGATGCAGCATCCGGATACTCTTGAACAACAGTCGCAAATTAGTCAACCTAAAAACACTCACTCCAGACATACGACAAAACATGGCGAGTCTGATTTATCAACGAGCTATGCTTCATCGTTAGATGGTGGTCGTGTTTCCCCTCAGGATATGCAGGACTCGGTGATGGAATCCAATATCCAAAGGCTTTCTCGACAAATGAATGATACACATTTGGACCAGGAATCATTATCTGAACACTAAGATATTATCTTTTTTATATTATTGAATATTAAATTATTATTTTTCTTCTTAAATATTGTAATGAAAAAGGCTTGCCAATATCGCCGAAATACAAGTAATGTAACATGTGCAATATGACTTTGAATTAATCTGAGAATAATCAAAGTGGACCCGTTAGAATATTGTTTAATGATACCCACTCGCCCTCATTCAGAACGCCGCTGTCAACCACCTGCTGTTTAAGGTGGGCGATGCTGGCTGTGGATATCTCAAACACGCACGCGCGCATGCTTTTTCCCACTACGGGTTTGGATATGTCGGTTGCAATCTCAGATGGTGTCTTGGACGCGTCAGCACATATTTCTGCCGGGGGAAGAGCGCTGCGCGTGTTGATAGTCTTTGGGGTGGACTGCGTCTCAAGGTCCAATGGAATTGACATAAAGCCCAGCCCACTTTTGTGGCACCTGGCCCAGTGCGAGATAAAGTTGAACATTGCGTTCCCGTCAAACACCACATGATTTGTCATAGTGAACAGCGCCAAGCCGCCGTCCGCCAGATAGCTGACCTTGATCATCAGCATCGGCTTGTCAAATTCCTTGCTGATGATACCGCTTGGAACATCCATATTGATGCCGTGCTGCTTGGCCAGTGAGTACGAAAACCCACGGCTCTTGATCTCCGAGTACGAGACCGACAGCACATCCTGGAACTCAAGTGTCGGCGGGTTGCTGTTGCTGGGGTCGTAGTCAATCGACACGGTTGAGTCCGAGTGAATGCAGAACTTGCCAAGCAAAAGCGGACACCCGTGTAGTGCGGTTGCCAGCGAGCTGTGTAGCCGGTCCCGCGACATGATGGTAGATAGCTGCGGGCTGGGCGCGTAATATTGAATGGCAGGTTTGTAAAACTGAAACATGAACTGCGTGTCGCTTGTGATGTGCTTGCTGACCGCCAGAGCTGGAAGCAACTTGCCCATGTTGACATGCATTTTTTTGGCTTTAAACACAAGGATGTGAATATTTCAAAATGAAAAGTTGGTAGCGCTGTACGTGTCTTTAAAAAATAGTAGAAAATGGCAAAAAATAAATATTGAAAAAGAAAAAGAAACTAAGCACAGGTTCCAGTCTTTGCGGCAGAGTTTGTGTGTATATAAACAAATAAAGAATGCTATTTCAGAATTGCCCTCCCCCTTGCGGTATGCACAAATATAAACAAGGATAACATTGGTGTTGGTTACTTTTGTTTGCCAGCGCCACAAATGATCAGCCAAATAAAAAAAGAAGGAAAACCAAAAAATGTTTCAATCCAGGATCGAACTGGAGACCTTGCGCGTGTGAGGCGTACGTGATAACCGACTACACCATTGAAACAAGTGCGAATTCCAGCTATTAGCTAATTTCTATTTAGCTTTATTATGGACTAAATATACTGTAAATATCATTACAACCATTTTCTATTAATTTTATTAGTTTTGGATTGTGCATATTTTGTCATATTTTTTGGGGTTTGTATGTGATGTCTTCGCTCATGTATACTGTTTTTCAATTATGCAACAGGCATTTTAATTGTGTTGTTTTAAGCTCACAATGTTTTAGCAACAATAAAATCGCACATGAGAACTCCACACGTCATTTGTTTTGAGCATGACTGACACTTGTGTCTGGACAAAAATAAGATACCAAAATGGTATTTTACAATGTTTTTTATTATATGTACGCCAATATTGTCTTTCTTTTGTTATATATAATTTGAAAAGTATGCGGGAATATTGAAATAAAAAAGTGATCATTTGCATCATGCTTTGCAGAAATAAAACAAGCATAACATGAATTTGTATCCTCATAAAAGAATTGTTTTTTCTTGGCCTCATCCGGCTAATATGGCTGAAATTTTGGATTAAAAAAGGAGCGAGTGTAGCCATTGTGTACAAAGTTGTTTATTTTTAGAAATAGACAATAAATCTAAAATATGATAGAGGAATTGTTGAATGTGCGAGTAACACACGATGTATTAGACACGTGTAAATAAAGACATTGTAAAAAGATGTATTTTTTGGCGCATGCAATCGCATGAGAGTAATTGTTCAAAGTGATCATGACAAAATTTTTTAATTAATTTGTTTTATTTGCGTTTTGTTATTTTTAGGTACATATTGACAAAGAAATGGTATTTTAAAATGTGGTGCCACCCTCCCACCACATTCCGGATTTATGTTGCCGTTTTCGAGAAACAACAACTGCGGACAATGTTTTCATTATTGCGACAATATCCATTCCAGATAACACTTGATCATGTAAAATGTCAACAAGGCCTTTACAACGCCGCCCACGAGGCTGTTGCTTCTTTAGTTTAACAGCATACATTCCATATTTCTCCAAAATCTTTCTTATTTTTTATTTAAAAGTTTAATTTATTCAGTACACTCACGCTCAGGCTCTTGCAAAGGAATACAGTCATTTTTAACTTTATTTATTTTGATTTTAAATTCAATGTCAACCTGCCCTATTTGCGGAGCAACATACGCCAATGTATTCTTTACATCTGAGCACGTCCGGGAAATGCACTTTTTTGTGGATCTGGACGAACTATAACTGACAATATCAAATGACACGAAATCCATACAAGTAACTAATTATTCCGCTTTTGTTTATACCAATAAATTCAATAAAATAAAGAGTAATAGCTATTATTTAGCAGTCCAGGTAATCAGCAGCCATCAATAACTCCAAAGACATTTCCAAATCAAAATTAAACTCTGGTACTCTCTCACTCAATCCTTCATCGGAATACCTGTATTTAAAGGTCAAGTATTGGCAGACTTTTTCGAGAACTTTGCCTTTGATGTCGGGGAATTTAATCTCATTTGTTAGGGCCTCGGTGAACATGGCAGCGGAGGAGGAGTGCTCGTTGCCGCGGGTCATGTCGAGCATATTGCGGATGGTCGCGGATTGCTCGGCGACGCGTTTGTCGATTATGAAGGAGAAGTTGTCGCCGCTGAGTAGACGCACGAAGTTTGAGGTCGAGGAGGAAGATGCCATGGTAGAATTTTATCTGAGGTCGAATGAAAAGACGTTTTGATTGTTAATTATAGACTGTTGTACAAAAATAAAGAGAGAAGAGTCTCATTTGTGACAACTGCGGAAACAATGCCGATTGCAACAGTGTGCGCGCGCGAAAATCATGCTAATGGGACACTATAGTGGTTGTTGTCAGGTGATAAAAACAGCATGCAGATAAAAAAGTTACCATTAAAAATATTTTGGGAAAAACACTTATTATCAAAGCAGGCTCTCACCGAGCGAGCACCGCACCAGTGAGCATCCAACAGCAACGGTCTGGCGCAAGGATTCAGGGTCGCCCAGAGCTGGGTTGACCTCGACCAGGTCAACGGCTACCAGGCACCCGGTCTCAGCAACAGCTTCGCAGATATAATGGCCCTCGCGGAAGGTCAGGCCGCCCCTCACGGGTGTCCCGGTCGCCGGGGCTACGGATGGGTCCAGGGCGTCAACGTCAAAGCTCATGTGCACTGGCAGCAATCTATCGGGGTTAACGTGATCCAGCGCCATCTCGACAACACGGCCGATGCCGTGCTTGTCGACATCGTGCATACTGAAGGCCTTGATATTGTGCTTCCGCAGAAGCATCTTCTCGCCAGCATCGACGTCGCGCAGGCCAATATACACCAGGCGGTCCTTGCGCACGCACCCGGGCTTGATCCAGCCAAACGGGGCGTCGCCCTGTGGCGTCTCAGCGCAGATACCCAGAACGTACGCCAGTGGGCATCCGTGCAGGTTACCCGAGTCAGTTGTCTCGGGCGTGTTAATGTCGGCGTGCGCATCCACCCACACCACGCACAGATCGGCCCCGTATACGTCCGAGGAGCCCACCAGCGTGCCCATGGCAATCGAGTGGTCGCCGCCCAGCGTCACAGCCATGCGCCCGGCCGCGCAATGCTCGCGCACCTGCTCAGCCACGCGCTGTGCCGCCATCGACACATACATTGGGTTTTCAGGCGCCCCAGAGGCGGGTCGCTGGCTGGCCTCATGGTGCGGTACTTTTCCATGCCCGGGCTCAGCTCAATGGCGTACCCCATGCCCTCGATCTGATCCAGGATGCCGAACCGAATCATCTCGATGGGCCCGTCGTCGACGCCGCCCTTGGGCTGCCCACCGCTAAACGGCACACAGGTGAGGCCCACCGTCGAGCCGCTCTTGAGGAACTTGCTGCGATCGGCCATCAGCCGCGCATCCGATGCAATCTGCTCCTCGGGGCAGAACGCAGACAGTGTGTGATCATTGTTGTTGTTGTGTGGATTCATGATGCTATGCTGTGGTGTTGTAGGGTTGTGGGGTTGTAGGGTTGTGTAACTCGGAGTAAAGAAAATAAATAAAGCGAAATCGGGGAGATCTTTTGATGCGATGAGCTGGGAGGATGAGAGAAAAAAGTGGGAAGAGGAACCGCTCCGCCCCCTTTTATACATTTCACACATATACAAATATGGGGCACATTCGAAATGGAGAAAAATAATGCAAAAAGGGCTTTCCGCTGGCTGATTCAGCCAATGGCCTTCTTGGTTTTGCTGTTCCCACACGCATTTCAGAAGACGAGAAGAAAAGCGGTTATTTTTGGTTTAAATGGGGATGACACAAGCTACGAAAGGAAAAAAACCCAGGTTTTTTTGGACCCCAAATCTCAGTGTGGGAAGAAAAAGCCAAATTGTAAAAAACGGGAGAAAAAAGCTCAGAGGAGCACAACTATTTTTATCTGAATGCGATCCAGTGGGCCACAAAAAACAATTAAACGACCACCTGAGCAAAAAAATTATGTGGCTTTCTTTTGCTGCAGAGCCAGATTCAAACAACAAAACAGGCTCTATAATAAAACAGCCACTGCATGCGCAGCAGTGATGACGAGTGCTATGGCCAGCATCGATGAATCAGCAAACCAATAAAGCCAGTCTTTTTGTTTTGTCTTGTTTCCTCAAGCTCAAGCTCAAGCGCAAGCTCAAGCGCAAGCTCAAGCTCAGGGATGTAAAAATAGCATTGTTTGTTTTGCTAAGACAATGTGACTCTAAAATAACAAATAAAAGTAAAACCCAATCAGCTGCCATCCACCGCGCTGCTGCTGCTGCTCAGCTGCTCAGCTGATCTGGCAGTACCGAGCCCGTCATTTGTGCTGGCGTGGGAAAACAAGCAATGGCATTGCGCGCTGCAGTCCAAAATCGGGCGCCTCAAGCGAAGCGCGCCTTGTAGCGCTCCGCGTCCTTCTTGTACTGGTCGGCGTGATCCTGGGCAATCTCATAATAGTGCTTCTTCTGGTCCTCAGTCAACGCCTTCCACTGCGCGCCAGCAGCCCGTGCCTTCTCCATCAACGACCCCTCGAGCCCGTCCCTCACTTCAGCGAAAAACACCATAAACGCCGGCTTGGGGCGCTTAGGCGCAAACGGATCAACAAGCAGCGGCAGCTTGGCACGCCCAGCAGCAGCGCCGGGAGAGCTCGGGGCGGCGTTGATGCGGCGACGGCGGCGGTTCTCCAGCTCAACTTGGCTGCGGTCAACTGTCGACCACCAAGCACGCACCTCTTCGCTGAGCTTGGCACGCTCCTGGTCGGACATCTGCTGGTACTTTTGCTTCTCCGACTCGCTCAACGTCCTCCACTTCTGCGCGATCGCGCGGGTGACTGTGCCTAGGTCGTAGGTGGTGTTGTTGCCTCTGAACTCCTTGTTGGTCGCGATCAGAAACAGGTTGTACGCCGTTGGCGCGCGGCTCGGCGGCATCTTGAGCAGAGCTAAGTAATAAATATACAAGCGGTATAAGAAGGCAACAAGGCAAACAGGCATGTTAGTTTGTGAGGGATAATAGAAGAGGGCACTGTTTACTTTATTGTTTTTGAGCGTAAAACGCGTACAAACCTTTCTTCGAGTTCAGCTTCTCTACACCCATGCAAGAAAAAAAGAGGAATTCCATGAATTTAGTGACAATAAAAAACCACCAGCACCATTTGCACCTTTCAAAACTACTCGCAATTTTGCAATACTTACTCTCGACAAGCTCACTCTTCGTCGGCGCCTTGGCCTTATTCTTCTCCTTCTTTGCAGGCTTAGCCACAGCCTCGGTCTCTTTCTCCACAGCCTCGGTCTCTTTCTCCACAGCCTTGCTCTTCGGGGCCTTCTTCACTCCGGTACGTGCCGCCTTGACCTCCTCAGACACATTTGCGAGCGTCGGCTTTGTTGAATACTTTGAGGCACCCGATGCCAAAGCCCCGATAATGCCAACTGTGGGAGTGTTGAGCGAAACCTGGGAGAGCAATTTCTGAACACGGAACATTGGAAGTAAGTAACAAAAAATTATATAGATTCAATCGAGAGAAGAGAGGTTTAAAAAATAAACAAAAATAAATAAAGCTTGTGAATGGCAAAAAAAAGTGATTGAAATACAAGCTGCATTCTTTTTGATTATCAGCTTGTAGGCATGTTTATTTTTTCCCTCCCATTTTTTGTATTGCATTCCCGCCCCACCCCTGATCTTATTTTTCTAAGCAGAAGAGTAACTTTGTGCAGTGGCAAAATAAAAATAAAAAGTTTGATAAAACACACCACCAAACCCACAACCAAATAAATTAATAGTAAAACTCGATTCTCAATATTATTTTATATTCCATTCATAATTATTTTTTTTGTATTTGACGCACATATATTCAAAACAATTATTTTCTTACAACCATGGCCAAGAACAAAGTAGCCGCCGGCAAAATTCAAAAGAAGCCTGTTGCTCCCATTATCAAACCCACTGCCTCCGCCATAGCCGCCGCCACTAAACCGACCAAATCCAAACAACTATCCGAAATCGACGACATTTTTGCCAAACCCAAACAGCCCAAAGAACAACCCACCACACCCGTTGACACCGTTATTCTGACTGCAACAAAATCTAAATTATCCTCAAAGTCCTCGGTTAAAGTAATAGACGCCACACTCACAGATAAAATTGCAAACCCCAAAAAGCAAATGCCACCCCCTAAAGATGATGACCCAGCTTTTGCCGATTCCAAAGGCAAAAACTCAAAGTACACGGATGATGGTCTACGCGTGTTCTATATGGAGGATTTGCGCATAGGTGAGGGTGAGGGCGACACCGAACAGTGCCCGTTCGAGTGCTCTTGCTGTTTCTGAGAAAAATAAATAAATAGATTTTCAACAGGGGTTTATATTAAAGTTTGTCAATACAAATATAGAAACAGATGTAGACGTGGTAGCGTAACCACTGCGCGAGAACCAAGAAAATAGAAATGCTTTTGTTTGACGACGTTCACCACTACCGTTCTATTTCTTCTCAGCTGCCGGATAATCGAAAACTCCAAATACGAAATAGAGCGAGAGCCGCACCAATCCGGAAACATAGCCCGATCGAGGCATTTCATTTATTATGTATCCAAAAAATAAGCAAAAAGACAAGTAATCCACGATTTGTGGATTACTTGAACCTGGTTGATGGGGCTTCCGTGGATTGAACACGGGACCTTACGATCTTCAGTCGTACGCTACTCCCAACTGAGCTAAAGCCCCTAATCTAACAGTGGTACCAACTGTCAATACATATCCTGAAATACACAACTCAACCGCCCCGGGCGCTTGTTTGCCTCCGACATCAGTGTGCTGGGTGCGCTGGATGCGCTGGGTGCGCTGGATGCGCTGGGTGCGCTGGATGCGCTGGATGCGCTGGGTGCGCTGGGTTGGCTTAAATGCATGCCAGGCAGGTGGTAGCAAGTTGAATCAATTTGAAAACTGTTTTAATGTGACGCGGGCTGTGGAAAATGAGCAACAGTGCAGCTATTAATCACTCGACACAAATCTGGCCAGTTTTACCATCATACACCTTTGGGTTGCAAATATGTTGTAGCCGCATATCGAGTCAGCACTTTATAATATACCAACTGTGTAAAACCAGCAGCCATGCCACACGAGTTCTCGGTCTTTGCTACACTTGGTTGTAGTTTACAGCCAAGAAAATAGAGTTGAATCCATCTAGTCAAAATAAATATAGCCTGTTAATTATTCACATCTGTTGTCTCTAGTGGATGCCAAAACAACAATGCGCGCCCTGCCACTTGCCTAAAAAAAATAAAACAGCATGCCAGTTTTTTTCTTTTCAAAACGTCATTCAACGTCCAGTAAAAAAACTATAGTGTTGTATATAAAGCAAAACACGTGTCTGCCAAATTCTTTCCTTAGTTTTTCGTTTGCTTCAATATAATGATAATCACGTTTTATTGTTTTTGCCTCGAGATAAACATAAAAATATCAACCTGCTGTTAATGTAGCTGTGGCTGCGGCTATGGAAATGGAAATGGTTAGGTTGAAGTTTCACATGAAACTGATAAAGCCATTTTTAGTAAATAAATAACAAATTACTATTTTCATGTTTATTATTCACTTTTTAATTTCCTCATTGTAATACATATTTATACCACAAGAATGCCTGTACCAAATTCAACTCGTTCGGCAGCACAAACCTATAGTTTCCTCCAGCAAGCGGCACACACATGTTAATCACCAGCTGCAGCAAAAGTATCCAGCAAAAAGACCAACACACCTCTAGCTTCTAAAACAAGCCTGTCCCCTAAAAAGTCCACAAGTATAGAAGGCCCTTCTCAACAAGCTGCAGGCTTAAAATGAAAAATGCTGCCTGTATCCAGCACTCCCAGAAATACTACTATTACAGCGGTAGCTTTTAAAACAGCTTTTTTTACCCAAAAGAAAACCCCGAGCGCCGTGCAGACTACCCAACAAACTGCGGGTTTGAAAAAAACATGATGCCTGTGCCCACTGCGCCTAGTAAATTCACCACCACACCATTAGCTTTGAGAATGGCAAATGTGGCACCCAGGCATGGCATTTCCAACAATACTGCTAAAAGAATGCCAGCCTCTAAACTGGAAAACTTGGCGTTTAGTAAATTCCCGAGTGCCTTTCATTCTTCCCAGAAAATTACAGGCTTCAAAAATAATTCACCACATATGCCAACCACACTCAACAAAAATGCTGCTTGGCCCAATACACCTTGCCGCTCCACCAAAGAAAGCAGATGCAATTGCCGTTCATGTATATAATGTTATAAAGGTAGATAATAGCGGGTAGAAAGTAGATATAATAATTACATATGTAATTAATGTCCCAAAGACTGCTACTGTTAGGCACTTGGAAGATGAATTCACAAATGTGTATCTCAAGAGTGGCAAGTCTCAGCTTACTAACAGCCGGTATAATAATAAATCATGGCCGCCGACCAAGCTGCTAGCTGATTTTTTAAGCCCGGTGGCTTGGCACTTTACCTTGAGCTTGGTAGAACTGCAGAGTTTTCAAACATGACAAAAAACTGAATGGAACATACCTCCCTTGCCACGCCGGCAGATTTGAATATATAATTGTTTATATGTTCTTAGTTTTGTTTCTCGTTTGATTTATTTTGTTTATTACTTTTATTTACTTTATTAAATGGTTGTGCGTAGTTCTAAAATTTTATTATACTTCACATTGCACTGCCTTGATTCACAACCATGTCAACATTAATAGAACCTTTTAATTATATTAAAAATGCCAAGTGTGTTCATTTTATATTTTCTGAATGCACAATTAGTGCTATACAAATACAAGCATTTGCACACTTGTTTGCCGCTTTACTTATTTGTAGTTGCAAAACTTGCATATTTGTTTTTAAAACGCATTGGAACACACAAACTGTATTATTTTCATTACACTATGAGTTCACCACATTATTTGTCGTTTTTACCCGGCCTATCAGGCATGGTTATCAATACACCGCTGGCAATTGTAAAACCAAATTTAATACTTGCAAAGCCCGGGAATACCTTTTCATCTGGACTATCCACAACATATTGTACCATCACATAGACACAGGAGTGCTACTGTTGTAGACAAGCAAGTTTTTTGGCGCGAGTATTTCTCAATTGTAGCAAGTTTGAGATTGAAAACAACAAATACCACAATGGCACAAGGTATTTTAAATTTAATTAATGAATGACAAAGTCATTCGTTTCAAGATTTAAAGTGGAACGCCAAACAAATTGGCTTGCCAAATAAAACCAGGTTAAACACAACAGCAAATTACAAACAGGTTGATGAATATCTTGATATGTAAAAAAGTATTTATTCTAAATAACTAGCAATAACAAAGTGTATAAACTATAGTGGGATCTGACCGTCTCGGCTTGACTTGTACACGCGCATTTGTCTTGTTCAAAATTCCAATATTCCAATAGCCCATTGATGTGCATATAAACCCCAACTACTTTTGGTTTACTTGGTGAAAACTGAATACATGCAGGTGTCTAGTTGTGCTGAATGCACATTATTTAATTGTAATATTGAAAACATGTTTGTCGTTTTTAAAAATTAATTTCTCACAAACCACCCCTAGCTCCTCCAATGTTTTTGTCTTGTCCATAGACGTAAGTAAGACCTTTTTATTATTGTTTTTGTTTTTGATAGATACTCCCAGAATTCTTACATTTACATTTATATCTTCTGTATACCCCAATGCTCTTAGCTTGTTTATAAAATTGTTTACGGTACTAGTCGATTGAATAGTTTCTTTTAATTGAGTCATTATAAATATAAAAAATATGAAAACAATATAATTGCTATATAGTAGCTGATAAAAAGCAATGCAAACAAAATAATTATGTTGCAAGCTGCACACTTTTGAACTACTTTATATACAAGCAAAATGGTTATCACTCTTTAAAGCACTGCTTTTATTTTTTATTTGCAAAAAATAAAACGTATTAAATTATTGCTCAACAAAAAATAATATCGGCTGTTTGCAAACATAGGACTGCAAATCCTCATAGCGGTTCTTTTGCGTTCCATTGGATGTACTCCCTTTTTTGCAAGTCTGACCAACAAATAAAAGAAGTGCTCTTTTCAAACAAAAAGTAAGTAGAGCATGGTAAAGATACAGCACATTGGCCATAGACGTCAGTGAGAAAAAAAGCAAAAGTCGCCAATCTTGAGTGGGTGGATACTCCGCAAGGTGGGCATCTGAAAAGGGCTTCTCTATAAAGGCTGAAAGAGATTATGCTGCTTGGGACAGGTTGCAAAGGATGTGGTATCGCAAATATTGCCGACAACTTGACGACGTCGCATGAAAATAAAACAGCTGCTGGCAGAACGCACGACCAAAATGCACAAGTGACCACTGGTCATGCGAGGACAATCTGCGGAGTTTGTAAAACCAAGTCACAAGTTGAACAGATACTGGGACTGCGGCAAGATGAAGAGGATGGGGGTTTGCGTGGAGCGAAAAACGGACCGTCGCCGAGGACCCGCTCGCCGTAGTCAGTTGGACATTGATTGCCAGCAATAATGACGCATCCAACCGCACATCAGACATGCAACCACCTTTGTGCAAATAATTGGTCTGGAAAATTGTGAGACACTGACGGGCAAAAAGCGCAGTTTTGCTGTTGGTCGAGTAAATGAGCCTTATTAGTTTTAGTTGACCATTGATTGCACCGGTTCTCTATTTGTATGACTTTTCATAGCTTGGTTTGACAACAAACATTGTTTTCTATTCATATTTTGGCATCAATGTTGGTCGATAAATATTGTCAATTTAATTTTTATATAAAAACATTTGAAACACACAAAAATTATACAAATGATTCGTGTTTTCAAATTACAGCAGCGATGTGTGTTTAAAACCCGGACCTGGCATTGTCCTTGACAAGCTTGTTGTGGTACGCAGCGTTGTCCTTGGCATCCATGCTCTTGTTGCCAATGGCCTGGCCAACCTTTTCCTTGGCAGTGCCGCCGACATTGTTAGCAGAGTCGCCAGCGCGGTGCATGTTAAGGGTTTTCTCCTCACGACGAGTCTGAGTCTCCCGCATATTCTGCTTGCCCTCGCCCTCGGCCCACTGCTTGCGGCCCTTGTCAGCGAGATCATTGTTGCCCACCATGCTTCCAATGGCATCCTTAATGGCATCCTTAATGGCGCCGGCAGTCTGCTTGTAAAGGTTGGACATGATAATAGAAATGAATAAATGAGATTATTTAGTTTGCTTGTTGAAAAATGGGGCTGTAGTTAAGAAAAGTAGCTGCTGGTTTTTAAGAGCAGTAAATGACGCCTTAGCAAAGTCTTTTAGTACCGCTGTCCAATTACAAGTCCGGCCAGAGATTTTTGGGCATACCAACGTTTGAATTTGTGTACGGCACTGGCTGCTTCAAAGAGTATAAAAGAGCAGCTGCCGCCAACATATCTATTTTGACAATTGTGTCTGCCACTCCGTCTTATACATTTGGCATCTTTTATTTTAATTTTTGGACCTGGTGGCTGAGTTATTTCTTTTGAGCGGGCAAATACCTGCTGCGGAAAATCATTGGATGGACGAAAAAGCATGCCAAATAAATTGTGCTTTGTTGCGTATTCTATCTTGGGTCCATTTGTCGGGACCAGCACACAAAAACGTCCTAGGTCTTTTGGAAATCCCTTTTTGCGGTTGCTGAGCGATGATATCAAATTGCAACACATATGCTACAAGATTGCCTGTAACCAAAATATTGGTGACAAGCAACATGAATTGGCAACCAACTCTGACAGCAACTGTAGAAATGCCAAGCTCAATATTCGGTCTTTTACATTCGTGTGTGTGCTCGCTCGCTCAAATTGTGTTTGTTGTCGTGTTGACCGCTTTCTTTTTTGTGTACTTTATTTTCTGTTGTAGGTCAAGCGCAAGGTTCACGTTTTATGTCGAGACTCACGGTTCAAGTTGGCTTTTTTCAATATTTTCAATTGTTCGCAATTAATACTCCATTTTGATTAACGCTTCAATTTACACATTCTAATTTATATTACCGCCGCCGACGGACAGGAGTGCTTAGGGGCTAGTTGCGTTTCCAAAACAGTGTGGCGACGTCGCCAACCATATCGGGTAGGTTCTCCCGAATGGCGTGGCCGGCAGCTGGCAGAAGCTCCAGCTGGAATTCGCCCTGCATTTGCGCAATCAGCAGCTCCTTATCCAGCCTGTCTAACCCAGCAAGAATCAGCAGCTTGGCAGTCTGCGCACTGACAAGCGTCCTTGACAGCCCCGTGTACCATCCTCGCCAACACTGTTTTGTGGGCATCGACTGCGTTTTCCACGACCATCTGCTGCCATTCTGCACAATGAGTAACGGCACAGACCCGAGACTCTGGGTGGCTCCTGAGTCAATGTCTGAATGAGTTGCACTCAATACGGATGCAAAATACCGCGGCCTGGCGGGAATAAAAAGACAGAATGACATGCAGCGAGTCCAGAGCCGTGGCTTTGACAATATCGATAAGAACCAGGCTGCGGATTGGCAAGAGTCTTCTTGGTGCCGTGGCATGCGCCATGACCGCACCGCCCATGTTGTCCCCAGCTAGAATGGTGTCTTGCCCGGAATGTTTGCCGAGCACTGCACGGTTGATCTTAATGTAGTCGGGTATCAGATGGTTCAGACTAAGATTCTGGTGCTCGCTTGTAGTAGATATGTATTGGTTGATGGCGATCAACTGATTAACCAGTCTTGGCTGTTTAGCCACACAAACAATAAGTCACACAGTGACCAGAGCAATATGCTCTCTAGTCTTTACCTCACACAGTGCATAGCACTTGTTATTAAATAAACTTTATAGCATTATACTTTATCTACACGTTCATAGAACGTTCTCTATATTCCAACAATATGTGGCCGCGAGTATTGGGCGCTATGGCTGTCGCCTGGGGCACGGTCTGGCGGATGTGCTTGCACACTAGGCCAAACGTCAAAACACGAGTGTCCGACACATGGGAAAACATAAAGATGAGGCTGTCAGTGTGCAGAAGCCCGCTGTCATATACATTAAAGTGAGCGTTTCCTTACATGTCTGTTTGCTGTTGCGCTTCAAAGTAGTCAATCTAGGAAAGTAGCTAATACTGATCTCACAAGCCGTGGATCTTTTTTGCGTTGGCACTGCACGCTTTTTCCACGAACGGCGAGAGCTGCATGTTGCGCACTCTAAACATGCCCTGCCAGAGGTTGATATTCATATTTTCATCCGCCAGGCAATACGTTGCTATGGAGGTTAAACATTTTAAGGCAGTAAGCGCGCGTTGAGTAAACTTTATCGACAAAAAACAAGCAAGGGCAAACCACAAACATGCATGTTGGATATGTCTCAGATACACCAGTATCAACAAGTGAGCTAATAGCTTGCCAATAATCAAGTCAGTTTGGCCGAGTGGTTAAGGCGACAGACTAGAAATCTGTTGGGCGCTGCCCGCACAGGTTCAAATCCTGTAGCTGACGATTAATTCTTTTTTTGCTCTGCCGCTAATCCCTTGTTTTGCTCTGCTGTTTTTCATCCAGACCCTGTGTCTGCTTGCTCTCTCTTTTTCTGCTTCTTTTCAAAAGTAATCGGCTTAATGGATAAAATAGTGCTTGTGTTGCTTGTCTGAGCGTGCACATGCACATCTTTTAAACTCAGCCGCTGTCGTGAGCACACTCTTTTTGTGGCCACGCTCAAATAATTGCATAAATTCAAATTCCCCATTAGCTGGTAGGGTGTCCCCCTTCGCTCTCTCGTTCTCTCGTTCTCTCGTTTTCTTGTTTTCTTGTTTTCTTGTTCTCTCGTTCTCTTGTTCTCTCGTTCTCTTGTTCTCTTGTTCTCTTGCTCTTTCATTTCTTGAGGACAGCCAAGTGCTAGTCCCTTTTTTACAGACACGCACTGACAAAATGCAAAACATGTAAAAGCAACCAAAAACGGTCTATATTGTGTGTGTTAAACCGCCATGAGCGCTGGCTTTTGTATGAGAGTGACTTTGCGTGCAAAGATGCTTATTGGCAATGATAGCCCTCAGCCTGTCGACGCATTCACAAATCACTCAAACGACTGCTAATCTTGGCCAAAAGTGAGCAGGCAAAAGACAAACAGGTGTCCCTAATTCACTATTTCACTGACCACACTACATTTCAGAGTATAGCTGATATATACCTGTATGTATTTGGAAATGAAAAATTGAGGCAAACAACATTGATAAAGTATAAAAAGCATCCAGGCTTGGTACAGAGTGGATGCAATCATCGCTTGCTCAGATATTCTAACCAACAGCACCGATTGGAAAAGCATTAATTGTCCTGCAAAACAAAATTTGGAATTTGCATGGATGTATCTATTTTCATCCACAGTATTGACATTTAAAAATACAATTGAAGCATGGGTAGGCCTGCTTTAATTTACTAACATTCAGACATTGACACCCACGACAAATTATAAAACATGTTTGGCGTGTTGAATATTTTGCACTATCCATTGGCGACTAAAAATAAATACGCAGCGCTCCAGTCAGCGAGACTTACAAAAATACGCGCCAGAATAGCTACCCGTGATTTATTTTAAAGGCAACAATGGCTGCACCAAAGTCACAACAGACGAACCGCCACCAGAACCATCTTGTGATGCTTGTGAAATTAAATTGTTGCACATCGTCCCACATTTTTCTCCCTCTATTTTCAGCCAAGCTGAAAATCGACACACAGCTTTCTTTTATCCTTTATAACTGTCCTCTTAGGCTTTATATGCTGCACACAAAAGAGCGTGCTGTCTTTTTTGCCATTCAAATGGAGGGATGCACATTTTCTGTCTTTTTATTTTTGATTCATTTGTCTCTATAAAAAGTACGAAATGAATCAAAAATAAATTGCACACCAATTCTAAGCAAATATCTACTTTTAAGCCAACTGCACATTATCAATTATTCTTCCCTCATTTTTTTGGCCAAGAAAAAAACGCTCAATGTGATACTGCTCTTTCTATTTCTTTTCTATTTCAGTACTTTTTCTTCCAAGGTCGCTTCTTTTTACGCGGCTGTTAAAAAGGCGGGCGATTCTTTAAGTCAACCACTAGCGCGAATAGTCGAGCAAGCAAAAAAAAATAAATGAAGTAGTGGTGTCTGATGCTGCGGCCAACTCTTAAAATATTCTGCGTATCCGGCCAGAGCCAGAATTATAAAAGAGAGAAAACCAGCCACATGAAAAAATATATTCTCTATCTCTTACACATTTTATTTAATAATTAGCAGCAGCCAAAAATAAGCCTATTTTTAAAAGGTCACACCGCGTTTTTAACAACGCTTTCCACACTCATAAATAATATCTAACATGCGTTTCAAGCTTTGCTACTATACCTTGCAGGGTTTTATGCCTGGTTTTTACACAACGTATTAACTGTGCACGGAATTACCATTGTTGTACCGGTGCCTTTAGAGAGACATGGCAAACGCAACGTTTGTCACGGCTTTTCTAAAGGTGCGCATGCTTTTGTACTTGGCATACCAGTTTTAGCTGTACATTTCTTTTATCAGCCCTGGCACTACATCGCTTACAAACACACTCTACAATTGCAAGATATTTTAGCAAAGCTCATACTCATTTAGATATTTGCATTCACATCCAAATAACTCAACAGAACACAACACAACACAACACAACACAACACAACACAACACAACACAACACAACACAACACACTAGTACAAGATAGAGCAAGTCAACTCATATTTTAACAAGTACACTTTCCAACAAGTACACTCTCTAGCAGATAGACCAGCACACCAGCACATCATCAAACCAGCACACAAGCAAACAATGAGTTCAAAGCGTAATTCAATGCTCTTACCCACCACCTCAAAAAACACTGACACTACGAGACCATCTAGAATGTCGCCCTTAAATCCAAATGTTCCTCAGGGGCCCTCGGCCAGTAGCACATCTACAAACACCGCTACCACTACGCTTGCTGATAGAATGGCAAGCCTTGCACATAAGAGGCCAGTGGCCTCTTTGCAGAATGGCTCATTGTCTGCAACCGCGCAGAAAATAAATACAAAGCCGGCCATCTCTTCTGAAGCATATGCAAACATGTCATTGGCTGCCAGAATGGCAATCCTGGCACCCAAGAAGCCCGTGGGCGCTACAATAACAGGCTCGACATCTGCCATTGCACTAAAGAAGAGACACGACTTGATGGCCGTGACCATTCACTATGTTGCAAAGGTCGAAAAGCAAGGGATAAAGGTAGATGAGGAGTTTAAGTACGTTTTAAATATTCCAAAGACCGCCACTCTTGTTGATTTAAAGATTGAATTTGCCCGCATTTATATTGAGATGGGCCCATTCAGCTTTGCAAACAACAAGAGTTATAATGTCACATGGAGCGGGGGCAAGTGCGTTCACGAGTTTACTGAAGCCAGCGGTAAAAGGCTGTTTCTCAAGCTTGAGAAGGGAGCCAGAATGTTTAAAATTCCAAAGAGTACCGAGTGGAACATAATAAAAAGCGAGACTAGGTTCTAATAACTACAAGTATTTGGATTTATAATTTTATATTGCACCAAACAGCGGGCCTAAGTTTAAATTACTGCTAGTCTGTCATCGACTAGGCGTATACTTTTAATAGTTTTTACAACCCTTTAGTTTTTCCTTCAATTCGTATATTTAAATATTATCAACTAAATATAAAACTAAAATTAAAACCTAGACGCTGTTGCACAGACTGCAGATATGGAAGTGGATGTCGAGGTTGGGAATCATGAAGCAAGTTTCCGTCCGCATGCCGATTGATAGAGTACTAATTGGACTATGCAGGCGTAAATTAGGGAGGCATCGTAATGATGCCCAGACATGCTCCCCATTTTGCAATGCACACGCGTGAGTGCACACACACGAAGACCACAACACTGACTTGCCAAGATACCAGTCTGCTCGCAGAAGATCCAGTTCTCCCCAACGGAGTGCACAATTGGCAATGTGCACAACAAAGGCGACGAGGCACATATATACGATGAGGCCGGCCCTAGTAGTACTTTGGAAACATCAGTAATAAATTCCTTTATAAATTCACCCCCACTTTTCTAACACTAGGCAACTAGTTCCCCTCACGCCCCCTCTTACATAACAATGGAATATGCGGTGCATTTCATACGTTTTCATAAAAACAACTAAATATTAAAATGATGTATGCAATTATGCTATTGTAAAGCTTAAGGCGTGGGCATAGTACATTTAGAATATCTTAAAAATATAATTGATGATAAACTAAAAGAGGCAGTGCCATGTGGGCAGCGCTGTGAAGGTCTTGTTGACATTTGATGTGAGCCAGCAATATCTGGAATGGACATTGTGGCCATACAGACAATCTTGATAAGCTCGGTGCTTAAAGATGGTAATAGTGGCCTGGAATGTGGGTTGGGCACCACAGCTATTATGCGAAAAAAAAATAACTGTTAAAAATTAGCGTGGTTCAATGTTAAATTATTGTATGCAAATATTTACTTTCATTTATTTCTAGAAACTGGGTATTTCAAGGAAATATTTTATTAATGCGGATACAGCACTATTTTGTATTAAGCAGTAGAATTCATTTCAGAAAATAATAAAGGCCAAGTCACACTCTATTTATAATAAAATTGTGAGTAAAGTAAAAGCTCATAGTTCCTTCCTTTTTAAGTTTACTTTACAAAATGAGCAACCAAAAATGAAAATTGCAGAGGATGAAAAAAATTTAGCTACTTTTAATAATTGCGATTTTCCATTATCTTATCTTCCATTTATTTATTTAATGGATAACATATGCAAAACACCACATTGATAGTTATATATGATTGACCATAGAAGTTGCAAACCAAAAGATGCGGGATGGTGTGGATATAATGTGCTGTCCGTAATGGGAAAAAATATAGCACTGTAGTAAATGAGCGTAATGATAACGGGTAAAGGCAAAAAACCTACAACAAATATTATTTTATTTGTTAATTGGTTTTAAACCAACACTTCTTTTTACTTGGTTCATTTGTTTTAACTAAATCCAATGTTATGTCTTCATATGTAAAACCTATCATACACTTTTTTTTAGTTTTAAAAGTTATTTTGCCGGATTCTGAACTAAACACAACTTTAAATAAAGTCTTTGAATGAGATTCAATATAAAGGGTATTGTGACAAACATCACCTTTTTCATATCGTAATTCAAAAGTTTTCCAATCTATATTAGGATAATCACATGTCAATGTATTGTGAACATCCATTATGGTTGCATTATTGTGAATATAAATTTTGGTATTAACGGATAGATTATTTCCCCCAGCCATGATTGTAATGAAAGGTTAAAGCCTATTGTTGCGTCAACGTTTTGTGTATTGCTTGATGTTATGCGTTTTCCTGCATAAACCTTACTGGAAATTACAGAAAATATAATGCGATGGAGAAAATAGGTGTGTTGGCAATATTAAGCAGACAATGAAGTTTACAATTTTTTTGGTTGGATAATAGGAGAAGTGGGAATTGTCTTGCTTATATACATTATAAATGGCAGATTTGGTGTATAATGAGGTGGTTTAATATTCCTAGTAAGGCATGGCTGCCACAAACTAGCAGTGTTGCGATATTGAATGCTATTTTTAGGTCGTGGTATTTTTACACAGCCCTTTATTTTATAAAAAAATCGGATGGGTTCTTTGGAACATTTATTTATAAAGTCACTCGGCAAGCTCATTGTATAAAGACAAGTGCGCGTTCGCCCAAAGTCTTTTCTTGCATTTGTTTGAATTATTTGATGAAACGAAAGAGACAGTCAAAGGATTTTGCAGCGGGGGCCGGAAGGTTGGTTGCCACTTTTACAATTTGCGTTTTTCTCTTCCCCTTGCCATTTATGAATTATTATATAAAATGAGTGGGTTCAAACATTCCAAGCCAAGTGCCATATCGAACTAAAATTATTGATTTGTTTTTACTTTGGGTCCAACTCACACTGTTTTTTCACGCTACGTATCGTGGGCAATCGAATTCATTTTAAAGCTTGATTTTTATGGCCAAACATGTTGATTGGACAAACAAGATGGCGAAAAACGTAAAAAATGAATGGAGAGCAGCGCGAAAACTTGTGGAAAAAAAGAGCACCACCCTTTATTTTAAACGCGATTCCAATTTATTTTTATATACTTTTATTCCCCTTTTTCGATTTTGGCAAATCATTTCGCAATTTATTCAAGAACTTTGTTTATTTCTAAGCTATGCCTCCGACCAAGCGTGGGCAGAAGCGCGAGCCCAACCACACGGTAGTCGAACCTGAACCCAACAATAAACACAGTATAGACAGCGACGACGACAACAGCGATCCTGACGCCTCGGAGGATATTCCAATCTCAAAGAAGCGCGGAAGGAGAGCAGCGAACGACAACGGCAACTGCAGCAACGAAACCCAGCACAATTCCAATGAATACCGGGCTGGCTCGATAATGCACATTTCGCTGCGCAATTTCGTCACATACGACAGTATCGAACTGTCGCCTGGGCCCAACATGAACATGATCATTGGACCCAACGGCACCGGCAAGAGCACGATTGTGTGCGCCATAGCGCTTGGGCTGGGCGAGAAGACGTCGGTGCTCGGCAGAGCCAAGGACATATCGGAGTTTGTCAAGCACGGGCATGAGCGGGGTCATATTGAGATCACCCTGGCAGGGCACGGCGGGGCGACTGCGGGCGACAGCGGCGTGGTGAAGATTGCGCGCGAGATCATCCGCGAGGGCAACAAGTCGACGTGGCATATTAACGGGCGCCACGCTACGGCAACGGAGGTGGCGAGGACGACGCGCGAGCTGCAGGTGCAGGTTGGCAGCCTGTGCCAGTTCTTGCCGCAGGACAGGGTGGTCGAGTTCTCAAAGTTGTCGCCGCAGGAGCTGCTCAGGGAGACGCAGGTGGCTGTAGGCCGCGAGGACCTCAAGAGCCTGCAGGCCGAGCTTGCGGTCAAGCGCGCGCAGGAGAGACAGGTGATGGATGGGATCCAGCGGTCGGCGCAGGACACGCAGGATCTGCGCAAGAAGAACGAGCTGCTCGAGCGCGACGTGCAGCGGTGGCAGGAGCGCCTGGCGGCCGAGTCGCAGCTGCGCATACTGACAGCCCTCGTCCCGGTGGCGCGCTACACTGAGGCAAAGGCCGGCCATGACCGCGCCAAGGAGGCGCGTCGGCTCGCCCTTGCTGCCTACCAGCAGGCAATGAACGCAACGGGCCCTGCCGAGGAGGAGCTTGAGGAGCTCGAGGCCAAGATCGCCAAGAGCGAGAACCAGCGGCGCCAGCTTTCGGGCAGGCGCGAGACGCTGGAGCGCGATGCGCGCCGCCAGATGGGGAAGCTCACGCAGCTCGAGACGGCGCATCGCGACCTCAACTCCGAGATGGACGAGCTCAAGAAGAGTGCACAGCGGCGCCGCGAGAAGATCGCTGCGCTCAGGGCAGAGGTTGCCCGGCTCGAGGCGGCGCACGCAGAGGAGCAGCCACCAGACGAGGCCGCTTCCGAGGACGCACGGCGGCGGCTCGCCGACCTGCGCGACCGCAAGATGCAGCTGAACAACGAGATTGTCGCGGTGCAGGAGGAGCAGACAGCGCTGATGGCGTCGGGACAGCGCATCAACCGCCAGCTCGAGCAGTGCGGCCAGCAGCTGAAGGACCTTGACAACGTGGCCTTGAAGCGGCGTGAGGGCCTGCGCCGCTTCCACAACGACAGCTACCGCGCGCTCGAATGGGTCGAGGCCAACCGCGACAAGTTCAAGCAGCACGTGTTTGCGCCAATCTGCCTCGAGGCCTCGGTGCAGGACCTGCGCTACGCCAACCTGATTGAGACTCTGGCGTCGATGAGCACGCTGCGCACTTTTGTGACGCAGTGCAAGGAGGATTACCAGACGCTCACGCGCCACGCCATTGACACCATGCGCCTGCGCATCGATGTGGTCTGCAATAACAGGAGCCTGAACTCCTTCCTCCCGCCGCACCCAAGTGAGGCAATCAGAAGCTTGGGCTTTGACGGGTACGCGCTGGACTTTATCGAGGCGCCGCGCCCGGTTCTGGCGGCCATGTGCGTCCGCGACAACATCCACGAGATCCCGATTGCTCTGGGCAATGTTGACAACGAGGCCATCGGGGCGAACCACATGTTCGGCGAGTACATTGCCTGCGGAGTCCGTTCCAAGGTCACCCGCGGGCGCTACGGCTCGCGCGCTGCCTCGGTCATGACGTCGCGTGTCAAGAACCAAGCGCGGCTCCTGTCCGCTTCGGGCGAGACCGAAGAGACACAGGCAGTTCGGGAGCGCTGCAGCAAGGAGATCGACGACTTCCGCGACCAGCTGCAGGCCAACGAGCAGAAGATGAAAAAGATCAGCCAAATGGACCAGAAGGTGCGTAATGCACATCGCCAGATCGAGGCGCAGGAGGACGAGCTGCGCCAGGAGCTCGGGCGGAGAAAAGAAGCGCTGCGCACTTGGGAGCGCCATCGGGTTCAGCTGGAGACCAAGCAATTGATGTTGAGGGAGGCCGTCGAAGAGGACCGTCAGGAGGCCAATGGCGGCACTCAGGCCCAGCGGCGGCAGCGCCAGCAGATTGCCCAGCGGCTCAAGGACAATGCCCACCAACGGGCGGACATCATTGCAGTCATAGCCGATGCTGCCAAAGAGTTGGTCGATGACATCCACAAAATGGTGGCCACCGGCCTCGCCGGCCTCAAGGATGCTCGCGCCCTGGGCGAACTGCGGGCTGAGGCCGAGCGCCAGCGCGAGGCCATCACCGAATCCAAGCGGTTGTTTGACCAGGCCACCGAGGACTTCAATCTCGCGAAGCAGAACGCCAGGTCTGCGCTCGAGGAAACGCGCACGATCACTGAGGGTATGACTGATCATGAGCGGCAGGCAGTGCGCGACGCGCAGGCGGAGCGCGGCAACATGTCCTACGAGGAGCTGGACATTGAGCTGTCGACATGTCGCCAGCGGCTGAGCATGGCAGCCAACAGCGGGCTGTCCTCTCGCGTCATGGAGAACTACGAGGAGCGCAAGAAGCAGCTCGCTGAGATGATCTCCAACCAGCAGCGGCTCGAGCACGAGCTACGCAAGGTGCGCCGGAGAAAGCAGCGCCTGCGCGAACAGTGGGAGGCTCCGCTAGCCGAGATCATCTCCAAGATCGGTCACAACTTTGAGGCCATGTTTGACCAGATCGAGTGCATGGGTGAGATTCGGCTCAAGCGCGCGGGTGACGGTGTTGTGTATAACAACATCCACACCTCTGCTGCAAATGGCGACAACGACGATGGCAGTGACAATGGGCGACCAGCTGTCGTGCCACAGGACGACGAGGACTACAGCAACTGGGGTGTCGAAATCCGCGTTGCGTTCCGCAAAAACGAGGCGCTGCAGGCGCTGGACAACCACCGGCAGTCTGGTGGCGAACGCGCAGTGTCAACCATCCTGTACCTGCAGTCGCTGCAGTCGCTGGTCGCAGCGCCCTTCCGCGTAGTCGACGAGATTAACCAGGGCATGGACCAGCGCAACGAGCGCCTGGTGCACCGTCTGATCGTCGATACCGCGTGCAAGAAGGGATCGTCGCAATATTTTTTGATCACGCCGAAGCTGCTGCCGGACCTCAGCTACCACCCGCTGATGAAGGTCCTGTGCATTTTCAACGGCGAGTGGCAGCCTGAGGCCTTCAACTTCAACAAGTACATTACCAATGCCCGCCGGCAACCCACTCACGCTTAAAGCGCTCACTGACTCTGTTGTTTTTATTCCATTTGTTTTATTTATTTATTCAACTGCTTGTTTAATATTATATTGTTCACCATCATTTCCAACTGCGCGAGGTACGGGTCAACCGCATCGGGGTCCTTGTCGCGCAACGCGTTGCACAGCTTGAACAGGTACTCGCGGTTGGTTCCTGAAGGCCCCTCAGCACGCGCAATTACCCAGGCAGTGTCCTCGATTGATGATGCACCGGCGAAAGATGGATTGCTACTTACTCCGACATATACCATGACTTGGCTCAACACTGGCACCGTGTCGCTATCACTGCCAAAAACATCGACAAAATCAATCGTGTATCCATCCTTCTCACGGAAATCCAAGTGCTCCTTGACTGCCCGCTCCATACCGCTCTTCACCTTGTACGCCATGCCCCAGCACGCCACGTCGTCTGCGACTGTGTCCTTGGAGAAAATTATATTCCACTCACAGGCTGGGATCAGAGTGCATACTCTTCCAGGGTTCTCGTCAGTGCCACGGTGGTCGTGCGACTCTTGCAGGAATGCTCGCTTGCGGCCCTTGATGTATCCGAATACCTGCTCTTCGACTGGGAAATCGACCCTGTAGATGATGGACCCGTAGCCAAAGACCCATAGAGGCTGGTTGTTCTCCCAGGGCGTGCCCAGGGCGATGGTTGTCGGTGCTGGGTTGTGTGTAACCGCGGAGATCGTCATCTGATTATTTAGTCAGGTAAAGTTAAAACAGTAACAAGAAAGAGTATTGAAATCGATGCGGAAAAAACAAAATGAAAAACAGAAGAAAAGAAAGAGAATAGTAAAGAAAAAAATTGAAGCAGCAGCCGATGATAGTATACAGCACACTAAAGGAAATGGACCATGGATATCATCCAGTCTGCGACCCAGCCAATGTAGTGGTACATCCATTTTAATCGAATAGAATTTGTTCACGTTTTCCGCAATTACTAAATCAATCGCCTATCAGCTCGCAGCGCTGGTTCCACGCGGCATCGGCGCACAAAGCGTCCATCGCCGGCCCTTCAAGAGTCACGTACAGATGCAGCGAACTGTACTCCGATGCTGGCCCCTTTGCTGATGCTGGAGGGCCGGGAAATATAATGATGTAGTTGGGCCTGGGATTGATCGAGCGCGTCATGGTCGGACGCCCGGCGCCGAAATCAGCGTCATAAACAGGAATCCTGTTCATACACGATACACCCACAGTGCGGTGGTTAGTGTCGAGGCCAGGAAACCAAAAGTGGCGCCAAGGCTCCTTTGTGCCGCACGCCGCCATACGGCTGTACTCCGCGTTGACCCAGCGCATTGCGGCCTGCAGATATTCTGGTGAGTACTTGCCCAGGCTCAGGCGCACGCGCCGGGCGAGCACTGGGAATTGGTCGTTATCCATGATCTCGCCTGCCACTACCTGGCACTCGGCCAGGATCAGTGGAGACCCAAGCCCACGCAATGGCAGGCCTAGCACGCGCCGCATGTCCATTGTCTGGAAGACCGTCCAGTCGCCGGCCTCATACACGCGGCTATTCGTGTTGGCCTGCGCAACACACTGCACTACAAACGCCGCCAGAACGTTGTTCGACGACACCCACTCGCCCTCATTCAGAACGCCGCTGTCAACCACCTGCTGTTTAAGGTGGGCGATGCTGGCTGTGGATATCTCAAACACGCACGCGCGCATGCTTTTTCCCACTACGGGTTTGGATATGTCGGTTGCAATCTCAGATGGTGTCTTGGACGCGTCAGCACATATTTCTGCCGGGGGAAGAGCGCTGCGCGTGTTGATAGTCTTTGGGGTGGACTGCGTCTCAAGGTCCAATGGAATTGACATAAAGCCCAGCCCACTTTTGTGGCACCTGGCCCAGTGCGAGATAAAGTTGAACATTGCGTTCCCGTCAAACACCACATGATTTGTCATAGTGAACAGCGCCAAGCCGCCGTCCGCCAGATAGCTGACCTTGATCATCAGCATCGGCTTGTCAAATTCCTTGCTGATGATACCGCTTGGAACATCCATATCGATGCCGTGCTGCTTGGCCAGTGAGTACGAAAACCCACGGCTCTTGATCTCCGAGTACGAGACCGACAGCACATCCTGGAACTCAAGTGTCGGCGGGTTGCTGTTGCTGGGGTCGTAGTCAATCGACACGGTTGAGTCCGAGTGAATGCAGAACCTGCCAAGCAAAAGCGGACACCCGTGTAGTGCGGTTGCCAGCGAGCTGTGTAGCCGGTCCCGCGACATGATGGTAGATAGCTGCGGGCTGGGCGCGTAATATTGAATGGCAGGTTTGTAAAACTGAAACATGAACTGCGTGTCGCTTGTGATGTGCTTGCTGACCGCCAGAGCCGGAAGCAACTTGCCCATGTTGACGTGCATTTTTTTGGCTTTAAACACAAGGATGTGAATATTTCAAAATGAAAAGTTGATAGCGCTGTACGTGTCTTTAAAAAATAGTAGAAAATGGCAAAAAATAAATATTGAAAAAGAAAAAGAAACTAAGCACAGGTTCCAGTCTTCGCGGCAGAGTTTGTGTGTATATAAACAAATAAAGAATGCTATTTCAGAATTGCCCTCCCCCTTGCGGTATGCACAAATATAAACAAGGATAACATTGGTGTTGGTTACTTTTGTTTGCCAGCGCCACAAATGATCAGCCGAATAAAAAAAGAAGGAAAAACAAAAAATGTTTCAATCCAGGATCGAACTGGAGACCTTACGCGTGTGAGGCGTACGTGATAACCGACTACACCATTGAAACAAGTGCGAATTCCAGCTATTAGCTAATTTCTATTTAGCTTAATTACAAATTAATAATGAAGTAAAAGCATAAATTAAGTAATTTTGGCAGAAAGCAAATTTTTACTGTTAAATTCTACGATAAACATTTTATATTAAAAACAAGGTTTTGAGGAAATACCAAAATAACTTTAAAGTTGGCTGTCTGGCCAATTTTTTGTATCATGTTTTTATGTAAGAGGGGGCGTGAGGGGAACTAGTTGCCTAGTGTTAGAAAAGTGGGGGTGAATTTATAAAGGAATTTATTACTGATGTTTCCAAAGTACTACTAGGGCCGGCCTCATCGTATATATGTGCCTCGTCGCCTTTGTTGTGCACATTGCCAATTGTGCACTCCGTTGGGGAGAACTGGATCTTCTGCGAGCAGACTGGTATCTTGGCAAGTCAGTGTTGTGGTCTTCGTGTGTGTGCACTCACGCGTGTGCATTGCAAAATGGGGAGCATGTCTGGGCATCATTACGATGCCTCCCTAATTTACGCCTGCATAGTCCAATTAGTACTCTATCAATCGGCATGCGGACGGAAACTTGCTTCATGATTCCCAACCTCGACATCCACTTCCATATCTGCAGTCTGTGCAACAGCGTCTAGGTTTTAATTTTAGTTTTATATTTAGTTGATAATATTTAAATATACGAATTGAAGGAAAAACTAAAGGGTTGTAAAAACTATTAAAAGTATACGCCTAGTCGATGACAGACTAGCAGTAATTTAAACTTAGGCCCGCTGTTTGGTGCAATATAAAATTATAAATCCAAATACTTGTAGTTATTAGAACCTAGTCTCGCTTTTTATTATGTTCCACTCGGTACTCTTTGGAATTTTAAACATTCTGGCTCCCTTCTCAAGCTTGAGAAACAGCCTTTTACCGCTGGCTTCAGTAAACTCGTGAACGCACTTGCCCCCGCTCCATGTGACATTATAACTCTTGTTGTTTGCAAAGCTGAATGGGCCCATCTCAATATAAATGCGGGCAAATTCAATCTTTAAATCAACAAGAGTGGCGGTCTTTGGAATATTTAAAACGTACTTAAACTCCTCATCTACCTTTATCCCTTGCTTTTCGACCTTTGCAACATAGTGAATGGTCACGGCCATCAAGTCGTGTCTCTTCTTTAGTGCAATGGCAGATGTCGAGCCTGTTATTGTAGCGCCCACGGGCTTCTTGGGTGCCAGGATTGCCATTCTGGCAGCCAATGACATGTTTGCATATGCTTCAGAAGAGATGGCCGGCTTTGTATTTATTTTCTGCGCGGTTGCAGACAATGAGCCATTCTGCAAAGAGGCCACTGGCCTCTTATGTGCAAGGCTTGCCATTCTATCAGCAAGCGTAGTGGTAGCGGTGTTTGTAGATGTGCTACTGGCCGAGGGCCCCTGAGGAACATTTGGATTTAAGGGCGACATTCTAGATGGTCTCGTAGTGTCAGTGTTTTTTGAGGTGGTGGGTAAGAGCATTGAATTACGCTTTGAACTCATTGTTTGCTTGTGTGCTGGTTTGATGATGTGCTGGTGTGCTGGTCTATCTGCTAGAGAGTGTACTTGTTGGAAAGTGTACTTGTTAAAATATGAGTTGACTTGCTCTATCTTGTACTAGTGTGTTGTGTTGTGTTGTGTTGTGTTGTGTTGTGTTGTGTTGTGTTGTGTTGTGTTGTGTTCTGTTGAGTTATTTGGATGTGAATGCAAATATCTAAATGAGTATGAGCTTTGCTAAAATATCTTGCAATTGTAGAGTGTGTTTGTAAGCGATGTAGTGCCAGGGCTGATAAAAGAAATGTACAGCTAAAACTGGTATGCCAAGTACAAAAGCATGCGCACCTTTAGAAAAGCCGTGACAAACGTTGCGTTTGCCATGTCTCTCTAAAGGCACCGGTACAACAATGGTAATTCCGTGCACAGTTAATACGTTGTGTAAAAACCAGGCATAAAACCCTGCAAGGTATAGTAGCAAAGCTTGAAACGCATGTTAGATATTATTTATGAGTGTGGAAAGCGTTGTTAAAAACGCGGTGTGACCTTTTAAAAATAGGCTTATTTTTGGCTGCTGCTAATTATTAAATAAAATGTGTAAGAGATAGAGAATATATTTTTTCATGTGGCTGGTTTTCTCTCTTTTATAATTCTGGCTCTGGCCGGATACGCAGAATATTTTAAGAGTTGGCCGCAGCATCAGACACCACTACTTCATTTATTTTTTTTTGCTTGCTCGACTATTCGCGCTAGTGGTTGACTTAAAGAATCGCCCGCCTTTTTAACAGCCGCGTAAAAAGAAGCGACCTTGGAAGAAAAAGTACTGAAATAGAAAAGAAATAGAAAGAGCAGTATCACATTGAGCGTTTTTTTCTTGGCCAAAAAAATGAGGGAAGAATAATTGATAATGTGCAGTTGGCTTAAAAGTAGATATTTGCTTAGAATTGGTGTGCAATTTATTTTTGATTCATTTCGTACTTTTTATAGAGACAAATGAATCAAAAATAAAAAGACAGAAAATGTGCATCCCTCCATTTGAATGGCAAAAAAGACAGCACGCTCTTTTGTGTGCAGCATATAAAGCCTAAGAGGACAGTTATAAAGGATAAAAGAAAGCTGTGTGTCGATTTTCAGCTTGGCTGAAAATAGAGGGAGAAAAATGTGGGACGATGTGCAACAATTTAATTTCACAAGCATCACAAGATGGTTCTGGTGGCGGTTCGTCTGTTGTGACTTTGGTGCAGCCATTGTTGCCTTTAAAATAAATCACGGGTAGCTATTCTGGCGCGTATTTTTGTAAGTCTCGCTGACTGGAGCGCTGCGTATTTATTTTTAGTCGCCAATGGATAGTGCAAAATATTCAACACGCCAAACATGTTTTATAATTTGTCGTGGGTGTCAATGTCTGAATGTTAGTAAATTAAAGCAGGCCTACCCATGCTTCAATTGTATTTTTAAATGTCAATACTGTGGATGAAAATAGATACATCCATGCAAATTCCAAATTTTGTTTTGCAGGACAATTAATGCTTTTCCAATCGGTGCTGTTGGTTAGAATATCTGAGCAAGCGATGATTGCATCCACTCTGTACCAAGCCTGGATGCTTTTTATACTTTATCAATGTTGTTTGCCTCAATTTTTCATTTCCAAATACATACAGGTATATATCAGCTATACTCTGAAATGTAGTGTGGTCAGTGAAATAGTGAATTAGGGACACCTGTTTGTCTTTTGCCTGCTCACTTTTGGCCAAGATTAGCAGTCGTTTGAGTGATTTGTGAATGCGTCGACAGGCTGAGGGCTATCATTGCCAATAAGCATCTTTGCACGCAAAGTCACTCTCATACAAAAGCCAGCGCTCATGGCGGTTTAACACACACAATATAGACCGTTTTTGGTTGCTTTTACATGTTTTGCATTTTGTCAGTGCGTGTCTGTAAAAAAGGGACTAGCACTTGGCTGTCCTCAAGAAATGAAAGAGCAAGAGAACAAGAGAACAAGAGAACGAGAGAACAAGAGAACGAGAGAACAAGAAAACAAGAAAACAAGAAAACGAGAGAACGAGAGAACGAGAGAGCGAAGGGGGACACCCTACCAGCTAATGGGGAATTTGAATTTATGCAATTATTTGAGCGTGGCCACAAAAAGAGTGTGCTCACGACAGCGGCTGAGTTTAAAAGATGTGCATGTGCACGCTCAGACAAGCAACACAAGCACTATTTTATCCATTAAGCCGATTACTTTTGAAAAGAAGCAGAAAAAGAGAGAGCAAGCAGACACAGGGTCTGGATGAAAAACAGCAGAGCAAAACAAGGGATTAGCGGCAGAGCAAAAAAAGAATTAATCGTCAGCTACAGGATTTGAACCTGTGCGGGCAGCGCCCAACAGATTTCTAGTCTGTCGCCTTAACCACTCGGCCAAACTGACTTGATTATTGGCAAGCTATTAGCTCACTTGTTGATACTGGTGTATCTGAGACATATCCAACATGCATGTTTGTGGTTTGCCCTTGCTTGTTTTTTGTCGATAAAGTTTACTCAACGCGCGCTTACTGCCTTAAAATGTTTAACCTCCATAGCAACGTATTGCCTGGCGGATGAAAATATGAATATCAACCTCTGGCAGGGCATGTTTAGAGTGCGCAACATGCAGCTCTCGCCGTTCGTGGAAAAAGCGTGCAGTGCCAACGCAAAAAAGATCCACGGCTTGTGAGATCAGTATTAGCTACTTTCCTAGATTGACTACTTTGAAGCGCAACAGCAAACAGACATGTAAGGAAACGCTCACTTTAATGTATATGACAGCGGGCTTCTGCACACTGACAGCCTCATCTTTATGTTTTCCCATGTGTCGGACACTCGTGTTTTGACGTTTGGCCTAGTGTGCAAGCACATCCGCCAGACCGTGCCCCAGGCGACAGCCATAGCGCCCAATACTCGCGGCCACATATTGTTGGAATATAGAGAACGTTCTATGAACGTGTAGATAAAGTATAATGCTATAAAGTTTATTTAATAACAAGTGCTATGCACTGTGTGAGGTAAAGACTAGAGAGCATATTGCTCTGGTCACTGTGTGACTTATTGTTTGTGTGGCTAAACAGCCAAGACTGGTTAATCAGTTGATCGCCATCAACCAATACATATCTACTACAAGCGAGCACCAGAATCTTAGTCTGAACCATCTGATACCCGACTACATTAAGATCAACCGTGCAGTGCTCGGCAAACATTCCGGGCAAGACACCATTCTAGCTGGGGACAACATGGGCGGTGCGGTCATGGCGCATGCCACGGCACCAAGAAGACTCTTGCCAATCCGCAGCCTGGTTCTTATCGATATTGTCAAAGCCACGGCTCTGGACTCGCTGCATGTCATTCTGTCTTTTTATTCCCGCCAGGCCGCGGTATTTTGCATCCGTATTGAGTGCAACTCATTCAGACATTGACTCAGGAGCCACCCAGAGTCTCGGGTCTGTGCCGTTACTCATTGTGCAGAATGGCAGCAGATGGTCGTGGAAAACGCAGTCGATGCCCACAAAACAGTGTTGGCGAGGATGGTACACGGGGCTGTCAAGGACGCTTGTCAGTGCGCAGACTGCCAAGCTGCTGATTCTTGCTGGGTTAGACAGGCTGGATAAGGAGCTGCTGATTGCGCAAATGCAGGGCGAATTCCAGCTGGAGCTTCTGCCAGCTGCCGGCCACGCCATTCGGGAGAACCTACCCGATATGGTTGGCGACGTCGCCACACTGTTTTGGAAACGCAACTAGCCCCTAAGCACTCCTGTCCGTCGGCGGCGGTAATATAAATTAGAATGTGTAAATTGAAGCGTTAATCAAAATGGAGTATTAATTGCGAACAATTGAAAATATTGAAAAAAGCCAACTTGAACCGTGAGTCTCGACATAAAACGTGAACCTTGCGCTTGACCTACAACAGAAAATAAAGTACACAAAAAAGAAAGCGGTCAACACGACAACAAACAC